TCTGTGGGTCCCATCTTTTGGACATTCATCATATCGCATTGGTTTTCATTTCTCGTCCTCGGAGCACTAATCTTACACATTCTACATTGATTAAAAAAGAAAATCGAATGCGTTTTTAATGGTAATATTATTTTATACAGAAATCAATTATTTATAATTCAGATGAGAATAATGTTACGTTGTTAATTAATAATGTTAATTAAAATTAAGGAAAACAAATATATTTATCTGAAATATAGCAAATTAATTTTAAATTAATTCAGGTACAATTACCAAACATATCGCAAGGTCTTTTTGTCTTTTTATTCATTTAATTAATAAACGAATTATATAAAACTATTGTCAGTGCACTACAAATAAACTGGTTCTATGCCTTTATTAATAAAACTTATTTAAAAAATACAATGCCTTCTGCATTTTTGTTTTGCTTTTCCCTCCATTGTACCGAAATCGTACCGAACCGTGATGTATGAACCGAACCGTGACTTCTGTGTACCGTTCAACCCCTAATATATATATATATATTGTACAATAATAATAGTTATTGTTTCTGTTGAGTTTTAAAAATAGATGAAATGTATATTATTTGTTGTTATAAATTATTACAAAATGAAAGATTTTATTTTATTTTAACCATGAAGGGTACGGTAAATATTTGTGCTATTTTAGATTGTGTTGCTAATGTGTGAATGTATTTTTTTGTGGTACTCGTCCCGGTTGGTCTTCCTACACTCCACAGGGTGTCTTCATTAAAATAAATGGGTCTTTTCCATCTCTCTCTCTCATTTCCTGCAGCCTATAGCAAATCAGCTTTTCCCCTCTGTCTTGCATTTTGTTTCCATCTCTTTCTTTTCATTCTCATTTGCCAGAATCACTCATCCAAATCCTGCTTTTTGGCGCAGGATGGTCCGCAGTTCATTCTTCAAACATTTTACCTCATTTTGACATTCCTCCTTATTGTCAGCGGCTTAGAGAGAAAGTGGGTAATTTCAACCAAAATGACAGGGATGTATGCCGGGGTCTTGTGTCGAGGGTTAAGCGGCCCTGTCTCTAAATTGGTACGGTGAGTTACAGAGCAATAACTGTTGGAGGAAAACACAATGTGCATAATACCCCACTCGCATTTTTGACACTCGCTATCCTTTTTAAGAAAAAAAACAAAACATTCTTGGCATGGCTCAGACATGAGATCAGATACCGGCTGATGTCATGGAAACCTTTTCTCCTTTTTGTGGTTTTCTTTTAGGGGAAATAATAAAATATGGTTTCTTTCAAGTTTAAAATGCTCCTCTTGACCCATTTAGACTGCTAAGAGATTCATTTATGGGAGTGTACAAAAGCTTAGTCCAAGACTGGATCTGTCTCACTCCCACTGCTCTGTTTTAGCACATCTAACACTCTCTCTCCATTTCTCTGTGTTTCTCTCTTGCTCTTTGTGCAGGGCTGAATAGTGGGGCCTTTAGAGGTGCCTCCCTCAGGCAAACTAATTCTGCTCTCACCAATCAGAGCCCCACCACACACACACACACTATTCACACTTCAAAGAACCTTGCACGCTAACCAAACTAACGATGATGTCATCCCCTGCCCACAGTATTATGGGCATCATCAGATAGAGTGAGGAACTATATTGGGCTATAGATCAAAGTGTCTGCTTTATTTCACTAAGGGGAATGCGCAGGGCGGGGGGTATTTTTTTCCACGAGGGGAGTCTCTGACCCCAGGTTCTCTGCCGAACCCGTGGCAGACTTTATCACCGTCAACCGTTGGTGCTGTTTTACTACAGGATCAGAGCGCTTTAAATCTGTTTGTGTTTCCCATGTCTGTTTTGCACATCACTTTAGCAGAACAGGGAGGTACTGGAGAATTAACAGGATTCCTGAAGTCACTGACTGTAATTATCAATATATTATTGTTAAATGCAACCTAAGCTTTTTTGACAGAGACTCTAAAATGCTGTCAGTTGCCACAGAACATAATTTAGACATTGCCTCAGTTTGTAAAAGTAACACATTTGGGGAGTTAGCCATTAATACAGGCTCCTGCATGTGTTTTGGAAAATTGAGGGATTGGTTATCGATTATCCTTTTTTATTTTTTATTTTTTTGGCTAAATATTTGTATACATATTTATATTATTTTATATTAATACTTAATATTATACTTTAAAATGTACAAGAAAGTGTATATTTTAAGTGCTGTTTTAGTGCCATTTTAAATATTGTTTTCACTTCATTTAAATGGTGCTGTTGCGTGACAAATGCAAGTACAAATATTTTTCTTAACATTTACATGTGTTGTCCAGTAAATAATGTCTAAAGTTGTCTTGTATTTTTTAAATCAAAATGTCATAACTCGATCTTTTGGTGAGTCAACATACTTCTCTCTGGTGACATGCCTGAATTCACTAATCATTTAGTCCACTTTAAACCCGGCCCTCCACAATTGACTACAAGCTCACATTCAGATCTGCCTCCAACCAATCAACAACCAATAAAACACTGGCTTACATTTATTTTTCACTCAGATGTATGTCACAATCCAAAAATATCTGATGGTACTTCCATTACAGCACGACTTTAATTAGGGATGCACCGATATGAAAATTTTGGTCGATACCGATAATCTTTATATTTGAAAACCGATATATCTAGCCTGACGTCGTCATACTCAGATTCTAGTCAGAATATGAGTCTGATACTGCTCCATTGGGCTGTGATTATGGGGCGTGTTTCAACCGAACCAGGAAAAAAAATGCCTCTGCACTCAATTGGATAGACCGAATCCCGTAGGAAGGACGGCAAAAACATCTTTCCGATCGACAAATGCCTTGATCGCGGTTCTCTCTTCCTCCTTTAAAATGAATGTGCTGTCTACATCTTCTATAACAGACGCGATGGCGGAATCTACACATCTCAATTCTCCAGCGGCAGCCATTCTTTGTTGTAACCGAATTCAACCCAAGCGCTCTTGGCACAAAATGACGCAAATGCAAAAGTGTTGTTTGCATCTTGAACTTACGTGCTAGTCAGAGTGTGTAACTCCTGTTGTGGATGCGCTCTTCCCGTAACAATGCGCTGAAACACAGAAACTAAACCCAAAGTATTCACAACGTTTTATTACAATAGTGTTCTCTTTATAATGTTATGACAGCCCCAATCATAGTTATTCATGTCGTGTATTGCTGTTTGAGCTGCGTGCGCTGAAGCTAAAGATGATCACCAGTAAACTGAAGCACTTTACTACCGCGTTAACCAAATACATCCTTTATGAGATAATATCAGATATACACAAAACAAAAGGCTGCGAATGCACAAACAAACGTGACTGTGCTAGTCTTGAAGGTGTATATCCTTTGTGGATGCAGTTATCCTGTAATAATGCACTTAAACACGGGCGCACAAAGAATTTACAACATTCTTTTACAGTAATGTTCTCATTATAATTTTATGTAGCCTTATATGACAGACTTGTAATGCATATGTTGCATTTTACCTTATTTTTCTTTTCTAAGTGATTCCAATCATATTTCAAGCAATTCACATGCGCATCTGAAGTGTCTCAGCTGAAGGAAATAATCCATTATTTATCAGCTTTAATATATATCGGCAAAATTTTCTTATTGGGCCAATAATGATACCATTAAAAATGAACATTTTCAATTAAGACTTTCCATCTCAAATATTAAGTTGGGGATGCACAATATATCGGCCACCATATCGTCATTCACCGATATACCGGTATGTTAATTTTACATTTTTTTAAGTGGTTTTCTGTTTTCGAAGAGCTTGAGTTGTATTTAACCCTAAATATTGCTTTAAAGAAATTTAAACACAAAAAAATGTGTATACATTTTTGCATCTCTATTTACAAGGGCCTTAAAATTCAGTGTCGCCATTTGGTTCTTACTCATCAATTATGTACCATTTGCATCTTTTTGTGTCTTCTGTGTATGTGTCTCTCTCCTCTATCTGTTCTGTCACTTCTTAGCCTTGTGTATTGTTAGTGTGGGCAACTGACCTCTGACCCCTGCTTTTGTGAGAGACTTTAGTATCTGGGTGCCGAAGGCCCATACGCTGGCATGTGGCCTTTGTGTCACCCTAACCTGAGAGAGAGAGAGAGAGCCTACGGGCTTGGGGAGCAAAGCAATGTCACCATGTCACATAGCAGCTAAAGTATGCACAGAATGAGAGAGAAGAGGGGGAGTTTTGCTCCTTTCTCAGGAATGTCTAAACACAAGCCTGTGTTTGCAGCCAGCGCTGAAGTGTGTGTGTGTGTGTGTGTGAGAGAGAGAGAGAGAGAGAGAGGTGGAAGGTGGTTGTGTTTGATCTGTGTTAATCCCCTCTGAGGTTTAACCACTCATTTTCCAGCATGGAGAGCACTCGTATCCTCAGGAGCAATCGCTATAGAAACCTTCCTGCCAGGTTGTTAATGAAAAAAGGTCTAAAAACAAGAGTGCCTCCCAGTTGATGTAACAGCATCTTGGAGTGTGAGAAGGGGCCATCAGGTTTTCTCTTAAATGGAGAGACAGCTAGTAAAGCGGTTGGCATGTGTCTTTGTGGTAGGGTGCTGTCACACATAGTTGAAACTATAGGCCCTCCTGCTGCTGAGCTGCATGTTAAAGCCTTCTTACCCAGACCTCCCAGCTCCTGGCTAAAAACCTCTTTATTTCACATGAAAGAAGTGCTGGGAGGTTTCTCACTCACTCTATCCTACCCTCATTCCCATTCACAGTGGATTTGTAGTTGTTTTCCATAAAAAGTCTCCTTTATACTCTTGTCTCTTCTCAAATATGCATAAAAACATCTTATTGTGACATAATTGCCTATGTTCTCCATATCCCACTCTTTTTTTTTTTTTGGTCAAAAGCTGCCGTTCTACCCATTGTTGTTATTGTTAACTAAAAATAAACTAATAAAATGACTATTAAATATTTGGTTTTAACATTGTTTTTCAGTGCTTGTGTCACATCGGCTGACTTTTTTTCCCTCTCTTTTTCAGGCATATGAATGGGCGCTAGAGGGCATGCGTCATTTGGCGTGTGTTAGTATGGAGGAGTGTGGCATGTCTGAGAAATGTCAGAGCGTGATCACATGTTTGGAGACCTATCGCACACAGCACCCACCGATCCAAGACGCACACTTCCAGGAGATGAAGGACCTCGCTGGGGAGCTGAAGAGTGAGCAGGGACTCAAGCAGTGGAAGTTCGCTTGGTCCAAGTGTCAGGAGACAAAGCAGATGTTTGAGAAGAAGCTGGAGATGGCCCTGCGCTCCCGCCGCGAGAGCGACTCCAAATCAGCAAGGGGTGACTCTTCTCGGCGGAACTCGGACAGTAGCGCTAAACCTCAGGAGCGTAGCAGTAGCATCTCCTTCTCATGTCGGAGAGCGTTCGGCGGTGGCTGGGGTCGGGATAGACTTTCCTCACAGTCCAGCACGTCTTCAACTCCCAGCAGCCCTTTAGGTACACGCCTGGACGCTCGTGACTCTGTCCGAACCCCGACTGGGAGTCTATATAGCATTGAGCACAGAATTCCTCACAACACCCCTGTCAGATCCCACAGGCTAACACGTAGCATCTCCACAGACGAGTCTCCTCAGCAGCCGCATCTGGAGGGGCTGGCGTGTGCTACGAGCCCAAGCCTCACCTCTATTGAACCAAACCGCAGGGTTTTGCGAAAGACCCAGAGCTTCGATACTGCCGGTAGCGATTCCGTGTCACGGTATGGGACCTGCCAGAGAACTTTGAGTGAGCCTGCACGGAGAGGAAACACAGGGGTGTTCATTAAAGGTCTGGAGGTGAGCAGCACTGAAGTGATCGATCGGCCATACAGCCCGCGACTTCCGCCCATGCATGGATGGTCTTCTCTAGATACTCACTGCAGTGGGAGTCCTGCTCCCGAAACACGAAGCAAGGGCAGGTGGGTACACTCAGCGCACCCATGCAAGTGCTAACCCAGACTCAATTGATATAACATAAACAATCAACCAGGGAGGTCCGCAGGTCATCGACTCAACCACACATTCAAGGGTTTTCAAATGTAGCTCCTGGAAACCCCTAGGGGTGCTAGAGGGTCTGCGGAACAGCAGAAAAAAGTTTTTTTTTTTTTTACTTTCAGGTAACAAGACAATATGCTAAGCTGCTTGTAATTTATTGTTATTTAAATAATTATATATAAATAGATAAAGAATTATGTAAATATAATATGTAAATAATTATATAATTAATAATAAATAAATTATATAGATATTAATAAATATTATATATAAATTATGATTTTATACTGTATTAATAATTGGGTCTCACTTTACATACATGTTTTTACATTGTACTAAAGCAATAAGCGGAGCGGAGTGCCTAAAACCCCCTTAGCTGTTGTAAACTCACTGTAAAACACTGCTTCAAGGGGCTTATTGCTTTTATAAAACGGCAGTGGTGGAATGTAACGAAGTACAAATACTTCGTTACTTTACTTAAGTACATTTTTCACATATCTTTACTTTACTTAAGTAGAATCAATAGTGCATACTTATTACTTTTACTTCGTTACATTTTGCAGCAATTATTATACTTTCTACTCCACTACATTTCTACAACGTTCTGTTACATTTTCGTTACATTTTCTGATCAGTTTTTCCCCTGTCAAAACGTCATCCTGACCGTCCGTTCATCGCACGTTTCTGTCTCACCAGTGAAGTTTGGTTGCCATATCAACTTGGTCACACTAAATGCGTCTCTATAGCACGCAGTGTGTTTATCGTGCAATTTATACGCGGAAATTTGTTTTTACGTGCATAGGATACGCATGGGTAGGTTTAGTAGTGGTGTGGGGTGCGTGTGTAGCCTATTATACGTTTGGTTAGGATTAGTATGGCAAGCCAAGAGGTTCAGAATTACGCCATAAATTAATCGCGTTTACAGCCAAACCCCGTCAAATTAAGCTTGAGGTGTATATTGCCTAATTGCAAGCTTGTTCAGAAATGGTGACAAAAACTTAAAAAAAACGGCTTTTCCATCATTATTGAACATCATTATAGGATTATTAGGTTGAATGAGTTAGGATTAACTGTTTTATTAATCATTAGAATATAGACATTAAGAGAATAAATTGTTATGCAAGTACTTTTACTTTTAATTAGTGCTGGGCAACGATTAAAAAATGTAATCGCGATTAATCGCATGATTTTCTTGCGATTAATCGCATTGCTACGCGCAAAATTGAATAATGAATTCTGAAGTAGTGTATTGCGCACTTTTGATTTAAATGTACTGCTACAAAAGTGCAATAACATGTGGTTTGCAAAAACTTTAAACAAATAAGGTGCTTTTATACCAGCAGTATTCCCTTTACACAGTATCAATAAAATATTTCTTGTAAATCTCAACTTAAACATTAATGTAATCAAATCAAATATTTAAACAAAGCTATTTTCCACTGCCAGGGCATTACCTTTTATCTAGCTTGTTAAAACGAGTCCAGTTTTCTTTTTTTTTTCCTTTTTTTCTGAACAGGTATCTTATCAGGGAGCAGCAGAAACAGTCTATGTAGTCATAGGGTCATGATCACTACAGATATAAGTCGAACAACGTTACTTCTCTGATAGCAGCTTAGGTTTGGTCATGGCATGCCATGGTTTCCCACATAAGATTACATTAAACAGAGGTAGTGAGGTGAAGTGGTCGAGCACAGGTGCAGCGACAAGCGGGTGCGTTCCTGTGAAACTGTTGCGGTCATGCTCGCCTCACGCACGCGCCCGCGCGTTGCCGAAGTTGAATTATCTAACTTTTTGTACGACGCGCAGCACAAATCATTGGAAGAGAGACTGATCCTCGGCTCGCTGTTTGTGAGTTTCCAGAATCTAAATAGTTATCAGGACATCAACAGGAGGGAATTCACATGGCAGACCCCGCTAAACGCAGGCCTATCAGGTAAAGTTATGTATAATTTTAATTTAAGTTAAAAAGGCTACAGCTGCGTAGCGCACAGAAGCCGTTGCCATGGTTACTATCCATAGAGCGCCTGTCATTCACTCGCGGAGCGCTGTCTCCGTTTCTGTTCACCTGAGAGAACCTGCCAAAGCCTCTCCACTGCTTGTTTGGGTGGGTTATTTGCTGGCTGACCAACATCCCACCCCTCCTGTGATCATGGTTTGACTGTAGGCCTATGTGTATTCAGAGCCAGTGAGCAACGGACTTTCAAAAAAATAAAAAAACTGCGTTAACGCGCGATAAAAAAAATTGTCGGCATTAATTAATAAATGCGTTAACGCGATAATAACGCGTTAACTTGCCCAGCACTACTTTTAATACTTAAAGTACATTTAAAATCAGGTACTTTTTACTTTTTACTTAAGTAGGGTTGTCATTGTGGTACTTCTACTTTCACTAAAGTAAATATGTCTCTGGTTATTTGTACTTTTACTTAAGTACTGAGATTCAGTACTTCCTCCACCACTGTAAAACGGTTACTCCATAAAAATATTAATTTAATATTTATTTTATTCATAAAATAAACACCAGCAACAAAAAATATAACATTACCACATTTATTCCTCCAAGCAATGTAGCTCAAAGAGGTTGCCAAGCAGCACATGCAGCAACAAAGAATCACAAACGGCAGTTATAATACCAAAGAACGTATATTGACAAGAAGCGCCCAGCAGCAGCCCTACACTTCCGCCATTTTGGAGTGAAAGCGACTCGGCAGTCCACTAGTAATGTGTCGTTCGCGAACGAGTTCGCCGATTCTTTGAAAAGAGCCGGACTTCCCATCACTATCCACTAGCTTCTTGCTGTCACTATGGCAATATCAGCTGCTTGTTTAAAAAAAAAAAAATACATTAAAGATCAAATCCACGTACAATCACTACTGATCATTAAATCCTTTTTAACAGTTTATTTCACAGACTTAGACAAGTCTTCTACTTTTTCCCCACAAAACCTTTAGTATTAGCATTACAAACACTGAATTAATACCAACATATAAATTTAAGTAAAGGACATGCACATGCTATATCAGATAATTGGGAATCTTGGACAATAAATAGCCTATATAACAGCAATAGAATAGCTTTACAGTAAACTGTTTTTTTGCAGTACATTCTTATATTGATGAGCGTTAAAGCAAGACTATGTAAACAAAAAAACACAGCCACTGTCCAAAAGTGGCAATTATAGGATAACAGACACAGCAATGCATCATGTTCTATAAGATCATCGAGTTTGTAGCATGATCCTATTTCAGCCCTAGTGGAGTTGGTAACTAATAATAGTAGTAAATGTGTAAAGTTGCATAAAATGGAAATACTCAATAAAGCAAGAAAAAACTACCTTATCTATTTAATGATTGGATTCCACAACTGATAAAAAAAAAAAACATTAAAAAAAAAACATATACAAGACAATACAGCATTTACTGTAGGTGTACCAAGTGAACAAAATTTACTGATGGCTTAATTTAAGAAATTTTCTATTGCGCTTCTGATTTGGCTGGGAGATTCTCTGATTCTGGGTGCGCAACAGTGAGTTTGTCCAGTAACTCCAGTTGGAATCTTCACCCCAAAATGGGTGAAGCGCCACCTAGTGGCTGTTACCAAAAAAGCATCGGAGTTTCGCCTCTTGTTCTTCTATACTCTTTGGTAATACCAGAGCCCGTCTAATGGAGAGCCTTGGCACTTCCTATTAGCCCCATTGTGTATCATATTGGTTGCAGTTCCATTAGAATTCCACTGGAGGTGATCGCGGGCGAGTGCAGAATGAATGGGAGTCTATGGAGTTAAACGGCTAAATGTATCTCTTTCTCCTGCTTGTCGTTGAATCAACATAGATTTTATTGTTGATTCCGCAAGTTCAATATAGATTATAGGCCAAAAGTCGAATGAACGAGTACTTATGTCCTTTCGATTTCTTACAGGTTAGGCCGTTGTTGGCCGGAACACGCTAGCATTCTGCTATTATGTGACATCACATTTTTTAACGGATTTTTAGAACATATAAGTGAACTTAAAAATGCAATTTTCAGCTGAGTATATTATCTTAGCCCTCCCTTTTGAATGCAAATTTCAAATTACTTGACAAAAAATTACATCCTGAGAAAAGGATTTCTGGGGGTGAAACCCCATAGACTCCCATTCATTCTGCACTCGCCTGCGAGCGCCCCCGCATGGACAGAGACGTGTTACTGCAGCCAGTCCAGAAACCGGAAGTAACCAGACAGTGCCAATTCTCTTCAATTAGACATTCTCTGGTAATACTAATGTAATGCGGTCACAGGTGTATGTTTGTTGAGTAATTTACAACGGCTTTGAACGCGGCCCAACCAATCAGAATAAAGAACTGGAACTATCCGTTTTATAATTATATTTTGAAAATACCTGCATGTACTTACAGCTTTAATTAATTTATGTAATTACATTTGTAATTACACTGTTGACCCTTCCCTTACACCTTAAACCTACCCATACCTCCACACCTGTCTCTAACCTTACCTGTATCCCACCTCAATAGCAGCAAAAGTGTTTTACAATACAACATGAACACAATAAGTACATTGTACTTATTTTTCAATGTAAGTACATAGTACTTAAAGGTGCATTGCGCAACTTTTCATGTTAAAAATACCTGTTTTTCTATCCTATACATGCTTAAAGAACTGCCTGATGGGCTGAATGAGCCCTTCTCTGCGCACTGAGATTGCCTCTATAATCCTGTACAGTAAAATATATAAGAGAGATTCGGGCTCGAATTTAAGACTGGGCGTGACGTCATGCGCGTTCACGCTCACCAGGCTATGTCTCGCAGGCAGGTTTGTGTATTCGCCGGCGCCGCCATTCTCCACATTAAAGCTAGAAGATGGATTAAAAGAGACCGGCTTGTAGTCCATTCCAAACACCAACGCAAACTCCACGTAAAGTAAAGAAAAGAAAAATTTTGTCTAGTGCCACCAAAAGGTCCAAATTGGAGTCAGACGAGAGTCAACCTCAGAAAGGCATTAAACAAATGGAGTGATCTCCGGTCTGCTCTTGGTCTCAAACGGGATCCTCAGTTGGCTTTTTTCTTGATAAAACGGAAAGATATAGCCCAGTCTCTAATGTTTGATACGGCCAATCTATGTATGACAACAAATGACGATGCGTAAAATGTGTAATGCTTTAGCGCAGGGGTGGGGAACGTCCGGCCCCCGGGCCGTAACCGGCCCGCAAAACAGTTTGATGCGGCCCGCGAGTCAAATCCTCCCCAAAAAAAAAAAGAACTTCAGAACCAAAAATCTCAGCCATTACCTTTCCTGTGACAGAAAACACAAAATAGGCAAAGCGGCAAGCAGGGCGAGGCCAGTAGCGCGAGTCACCTGCGCACCGGTTTCAGTTTCTCACGGATGAGCTTCGGGGGCGCGGGCGCCGCACCGGTTTCAAGTTTCTCACCGCGCCCCGCACCGGTTTCAAATTTCTCACTGATCAGCTTCGGGGCGCGTAAAAGGATCGGAACGAAGACAGCGGAGGACCAGGCATGGACTTTACTTTATGTGTGTGTGGTCGTCGTCCACGAGGAGCTACTGCTTTTACTTTCGTTTTGTCATTTGCGTATTAATGTATTAAAGTGGTTTAAACGTTTGCCGGTTCCCGGTTTGTGTGCTTTTATCCACCTCTAAATAGCTATAAATTAAGCTTATGTCGTTTTAGTTTCATATAGTTAATTATTAGTTTCATAGGTTGTTAAACCTAAGACGAACTCTTCATATTGCGCTGCATTACTGTCAGTGTTGTTGACTATTACTGACGGTTGCGCTGTTGACGCTCGCGCAGCCTCTCGAGCAGAAATCTACACTAAGCGCACACACACACTCAGTTAACAACATACTGCCTATAAAAAATCTAAATGTGGAGTTTTTATATTTTTAACATATGTTAAGCAACCTCAATTATTTTTCCTGAACACCATCACGATTGAAAATGTGACATTAATTTCCAACAACAGTTCAATAAACAGTTAAAAATTAAGTCACTTACATTTTAGATGCAATATTGGCTGTTTTTGTTCTGTTTCAGCAGCGAAAATAGTTCCAAACAAAAATCACAGCAGAACCACGGGGCATCTCACAGGAACACTCACTGTTTTCATTACTGAATGATTCAGCGTTTTGAACGAATCGATTGAGTCAAAGATTCAATGACCCATTCATAAACATCTGTCTCAATCTTGAATGAATCAGCCGTTTGAACAAATCGTTTGAATCATGAATGAATCAATGACTCACTCATTAAGACGGTCGCCTGCCGCTACCTACTGGCGGTTTGTGTTATGTTTAAAAGTAGATCATTCTTTCCAACGTTTCTAATTTGTAAATTTAAATCTATTTCATAACATTATTTTATGCAATTGTAATTTTTCAGTGTAAATGATTTAATTTGATCAGCCCTATAATGTCTTATTATTCGAAATAATTTAATTTATTGATCAAATTTAGGAATTTAAAATGAAAGATGAAGCATACATTTAATAATATTGGGGGAGGGGATGCCCTTTAAAGGTGCAAGTATTACAATATGCCGATTTAAATATCAAAGCTTATTGAACACTGATGAGAATGTTGTTTCAGAATAAAAAAATAAAAATAAAAAAAAAATTCGGACGAGAAACTTTTTTGACAACCGTATGAAAGGCTTAATCTCGAGCCCTGCCTATAGCAATGTCATCAGGATACACATACACCGGTAGGCAGTGGCCCACCTTACCGGGTGACCATGTCATGGTCCACCAGAATTTATAGTTTACCCACCTCTTTTTTTACCACTAAACCTCTGAATAAAACGTACGAGTCCCAGTCACGCCGAACTTCTCTTCTTCCTTCCAAACACTGAAGACTGAACCTCATTACAATGGCCCTTAAAGAATGTTTAAAAATTGTAAATGGCCCTTGATAGGAAAAAGGTTCCCCACCCCTGCTTTAGCGTGTCGTCCATGAGCGTGCACAACTCTGGTTGCAGTTTCGCTTATCGCCAGAGGGGCGTAGTTCTGCAGAAACTCAGAGACTTGCGTTTTGCACCTTTAAAGCCACTTAATATAAAGTGGGACCAATAATTTTTAATTGGATTGGAAATAATTCTCTTCAGGTTTATAAATCTAACCGTACAAATATCGTTTTTCAGATATTTTTTTTCAACTTAGGTCATGAACAATCTAAAAGCTAGTATATTTTCAATCAACATGTCTTTGATTTAATATATTATACAATCATACTTACTTTTATAAATGGGTCTTCATACATACAAATATACAATGTAGCGGGATAGTCCACCCAAAAATGAAAATTCTGTCATCATTTTCTCAACCTCATTTCATTCCACATTGGATGGGCATTTTTCAAAAATATTGTATTCGAATATTTGGGCTCATAAAATCGAATATTCGTTTATTTAAATGACGTTTAACGAGAAAGACGTTATTTTTTAAGTTTAAGTTTTTTTTGTTTTTTTTTAACCATTTCTGAGCAAGCTTACGATTAGGTTAGGATGATTAATATATAGAGCAAAAGCATTTAAGCTCAAGCAGCACGAACGGGGAAAAAAACGCTAATAAAGCAGACTGCGTAGTTATTGTACAGAACGTACATGCACTCGAGTCAGCATCTGGTTATCGTGTTGATATTGTTTCACGTTCATGTTGAGAAAAACAATAATATCCACAAATCCACATGCTCGAGTGAGAAAATGCGCTGCATGCGCTGACAGACGTTGACACAGACGTCAACAGACACAAAGATAACGGTTTGCTAAGCAAAGTTTCTAAAAGCACTTCGCGTTTTCTGTTCTTAAACCTGTCTCCCTCAACGAAACTTAAAGGAAGTATGTGTCTCAAAATAATTTTCCTATCAGAAGATATCATATCTGATCACTCGCGCTCCAGCTGCGCTTACCTGCAGTCATTAATGCAGTGATGGACAGCTGTCTTTCCTCAGTCGACTGCTGTTTGGATTTCATGTGATTTGTCATTGTGGTGGTGATATTATTAAAACTCAGTCTCATTAATTAATCTGTTTAAAAGTACTTCCATTTTGTAATATCATTTTCATCTAAGTAATTCCAAACTTCGCGATCATTATGTGATCAAATACAATCAACACGCTCAACAGCGCCACCCAGTGCATTTAATATAACTGCGAGTTAGTGCTTGGGATTTATCATGAATTTACTGCATTAACGGCCAATATTTAATTTGAATATTGAAAAATTCTAATATTCGTGCACATCCCTACACACCTGTATCCATTTCTTTCTTCTGCAAAACACAAAAGTAATTCTGAAGAATGTTGGTAACCAAAGAGTTTTAATTCCCATTAAATAGAACTTTTTGTACAAACAGTTGAAGTCAGTGGGAACCAAAACTGTTTGGTTACCAACATTCTTCAAAATAACTTCTTTAATATCTTAGGAAAGGGTGGTATTTTGCATTTCTGGCCATTGATGGCATCAAAATGTTTGAAAACTCCTCTATATCTGTACTTACAGTTTTGACACTAGACTGCTCAAAATTGAACACTTACACAAGACATCCAGGAAAAAAAACTTTTTTTCCAGCTAAAACACATTCGGACTGAATCTCTTTAGTCTTGCCTCAATCTCTACATGAAGGAACTCAATATGTCTCCTATTAGACGGTCACAGCACTTTAATCCTCTGAATCTCCATGGATGTCTTTTCCAGCTGTGGAAAACTGGTCACCCCTTAACCCCCTTGGGAAAGGTCCTGAGATGCAGATCACTTTCCCAGGTGGCTGCTGGTCCTCTGGGCTTTGAAGTGGTGGGGGACATGTTTGTGTTCTGCTTTTCCACACAGAAGAGATGGATAGTTATCTGATTATGTAGACATCGTAAGGAGGTCTTTACATCTGTGTGTCTTCCTTTCAAAACACATTATTTAGCTTTGCTCTCCAAGATTGCATTGCAGATGTGATGTTGACAATATTTTCAGACAGAAATAACTCAAAACAAGGCATTCGGCTCTGTGTGGTCTAGTTATTGCAAATATTTAAGGCAGATGAAAACATTCGGATAAGAACCCAATTTTAGATTAATGTGAAAACTAAAACATCACCTCATTTTTCTCGGTACTGGACACAGACACCGTGTATAGCTGTGTGGTGAGAAGGATAGTGTAGATGAGTATGTAAATATGTGCTGCACGCTTTCCTCTCAATAACAAAATAAATACAACACATAACAAAATTGAGGAAACAGCAAGCATTTTTTAAAATAAAGCATAAGAAAAGCATCTGATCATAGCAACGTGGATAATATGTTAGCACAAGCTCTGCAATTCGGCACTCCAGTAAAGTCACGTCATGTTTTTTTAGAACACTTTATACAATAGATTGCTTAAATTCAAGCAGCTTTACCTTATTAAACATGAAAAACAGTGTCAGTGTCCATTTCATCAGAAGTCCAACATTTTCTACTATAAAGCAGCTCTCCAGTGTGTTCATGTGTATTTACCAGCCATATCGAACTTTTCCGGAAAGTTTGTTTTAGCAAGCTGGTTTGAACTCCCAAAACGAACTTCGTTCCGGCCCGATTTTGTTCGAAATAACGTCACATCAGTTCGTTCTTCTATTTTGCTTAAAGTATACTGGGGTCTTAAGGATCTGCAAGACAATCAGAAGACAGGCGCTCTATGCCTGTCAGACATTTTGAGCATTCAGACTTGCTGTCATCAGTTTAACATGTCTGTGGATGGAGGATTTTTTGGAGAGAGTTGAAATAAAGAGTTAAACTTTGTGTTCAATGTGCTCTAAAAATTGTATCTCTTAAAATGTAAGCATTTGAAGTATGTTAACTGTTCACTCTCTCTGTCATTCAGTAAACTACGCCACATTGTAGATGAGATGGTCACAACCGAGCGGGAATATGTACGCTCTCTGCGGTACATCATTGACAACTATTTCCCTGAGATGGAGCGCGCTGACCTGCCTCAGGATCTGCGGGGGAAACGCAGCGTCATCTTCGGCAACCTAGAGAAATTAGTGGACTTCCACAGCCAGTATTTCCTCAAAGAGCTGGAAAGCTGCTGCAACCATCCATTACGTGTCAGCCACTGCTTCCTACGACATGTAAGAGAAGTCCCTTTACAGTCTTTTCACAGTAACTTTCATCAAACTGCATGGTCTGTTTTTTGCAATTTTGCATTCTATAAATTCTTATTGTTCTGATGTTTGCTGGACTTTTCTAATAGTTTTAATAGTGATCATTCAGGGATGCTGAATTAAGTTTTCATTGGAGATGAAACAAAGGGGATTAATTTGTCAGTGTTTTGTCTGTTCCCAGTCTATGACTGGCTCATTTTTGACGAAGTCTAAAACCATCCAGAATTTGCTTTCTAATTTACTCATTTTTTTCTCTCTTTCATTCACCCTCCATGAATATGGGAATCAAACTGAGCCGCGGGTAATGATTCTGAAGTCTTTAAATGAGTGCAAGACCATCAGCCTACATTCTTTGTAGTTGTGGTCAACACATAGTGCTGGCTCCCCTTAAAAGCTTTACTATATGAAGCTTTCACAAAGACAGAGAAAAAGACACAGAGGCAGGCCGCTTGGCCTACAGCAGTGTATGAACTAGGCCGAAATCTTTTTTAACATGTTTCTGGCACAGCAAAACCTGCACTGAAATTACGGCACACTCCATATAAACCTGAAAGTCATATAATGATTTACCCAAACACAAAAAAGTCTTTCCAAAAAAATTCTCAACAAGAGAAGTTTTTCTTCAGAACATGGATTTGGAAATTTGGATGATACCACTTAAAATATTGCTCTTTTGTGCTTTTTTCCATGTGAACATATAGCAAGACCAGTTTAGCCTGTATGCTTTATACAGCAAGAACAAGCCAAAGTCGGACACACTCCTGGCCAGCCATGGAAACAGCTTCTTCAGGGTGAGCAACTGGATCCATACTACACTCTAGACCACCTATGATAAACTTTTAGTTCAGCCTCTTTTAATCTCATTCATTTCATCTCACCTCATGGCCTGAGATTGTAAAACCAGAGTCTCTCTCATTCCAGCATAAGCAGCTGGAGTTGGGGGATAAGATGGACCTGGCGTCGTACCTGCTGAAGCCCATCCAGCGCATGAGTAAGTACGCCCTGCTGCTGAAAGACCTGATCAAAGAAGTGAGTGAGGTCCAGGAGCAGGAGCTAACATACCTACGTGCTGCCACCGAGATGGTCAAATTCCAGCTTCGCCACGGCAACGATCTGCTCGCCATGGACGCCATCAGAGACTGTGATGTAAGTGTGTATGGCGCAGCAGATATGCACTACACTTCACGTAGAGAAACATAGGGAAGCAAATTCTCTTCTAAACTGCCATTTCATAATTTTTCACACACTCTTCCAGGTGAATCTGAAGGAACAGGGACAATTAGTTCGCCAAGATGAGTTCACGATTTTGTATGGCAGGAAAAAGTGCCAAAGACATGTGTTCCTGTTTGAGGATCTGGTGCTATTCAGCAAACCCAAACGCATTGAGGGTGGCCTAGATGTTTACATATATAAGCACTCTTTTAAGGTAAGCACCTAAAAGGCATCAGAAGTTCTGAGGAACAAGGAAACATCTCCAGAAATGAAAACACACTTTGCTGCATGCATTATGACTTAAGACCCGTTCACACCAAGAACGATTACTAACAAGATAACTATGATGATAACTATATTAGCGTCCACACCATCCGTTTATTATAAGCAGGCACTATTGTTATGTTGTCTGCTGCTTTAAATGCTCAGTTCTGATTGGCTTACAATGTTTTTATCATTCATCAGCTAGAAAAAGCGCTGAAAGTGATTCCAATGATATTGTTTCTCTTTCACTGTTATTGTTATAGTTGTGGAATGGACTCTGCTATTCTTTTAAATCTAGAACGATTATAGTTCTAGTTATCGTCCTTGGTGTGAAAGGATCTTTACACTACTTTCTTTTGCTAATACACTCACATTCTTTTATTATATTTCCTCTGACCAATGTTAATATAAACAGAAGGCTTTAGTTTAAAGATCTGAGAATCAGGTTGGTCTCCTGCAAGCCATGATAACAACAAAAATGCCATTAGCCCTCAATATTGATTGTGATTAAATGTTGAATATCCTCTACTCTATCATTCTCTATGTAGACCGCTGATGTGGGTATGACAGAGACATCAGGTGAGAACGTTCTGAGGTTTGAGGTTTGGTTCCGGAGAAGAACTTCAAAGAACCAGACCTACGTTCTCCAGGCCAGCAATGCAGACGTCAAACACGCCTGGACCTGTGACATCGCACGGATACTATGGCAGCAGGCCACACGGAATAAAGGTAGGAAAGAAAGAACTGAAGTGGCTGACCTTGAATAAGTTCTTTGAATTTGTTTTGTTCATCTAGCTGGAAAGAACAAATGAGAATGATAGGATAATTGCAGATAATATCTCCTGTCACATACCATCTTATCATATTTAAAGATTTTTTCAGCAGTTCATCTGTGAAGGCCTCAGGCAGATATTTAAAACACTTTTGAAACACACCAGTATTGTATTTCCACAGTTTGATTTGAGTTTGAAAAAAACCATGCAGATCTGAGGCATCGTGTAACCTGTATTTGCACGTATTTACTCAAAAACACGCTTTACGCTTTTCTTCATCTTAATGTCAACATGTTTGTGTTTATTCTGAATTTAGGGCTGTCACATTATCACATTTTTACTACATGATCATTGTGCTAAAAAGAATTCACAATAATATTGCAATATCTAAAATAATTTTGAAATAAATAAACAATGCCATCAAATTAATCTTTAACTTTATTTAGTATTTTCTCTTTTGTATTTTGGCGAATGAATCACACTCAATATACCACATTAATTATACATTTTAAATATCACATTGTCGCCAATGCCAGTATATTGCGACACTCCTATTCTGATACATGTCATGGCAGCATTTTTAAACGTTTATATTATGAACGTGTATGCAGAAATTCGAATGCAGGAGATGGTCTCTATGGGGGTGGGCAATAAACCCTTTCTGGACATTAAACCCAGCGATGCTGCTATCAACGACAGAGCCATAGACTACATTATGAAAGGCAGAGGTGAGCCTGTTTAACATGAAATAATCATCAGAATAACTTGCTAAATTCTTCTTCTTTTTTTTAATAAGCAGCAAATGATTCTCTGGGTGGATTTTACTAGCATCATGCTCTCTCTTCTGTTACAGGGGCCAGGACGAGAGCATCCATTGCCGTCTCGCTGTTTGACCACTCAAACCCGTTTAAACGAGCTGCAGTAAACGCCCCTGTTAGCGGCCCCCCGGTGGCTGGTGGCCCCTCCTCTTCCACACTGCTGGGGCCCTTAAATCTGCATATGTATAGCAGCCAAAGCCTGTTAACAGGGGAGAGACCTCTCATCAGCCCCTGCATCGAGGAAGACGAGCTGGAACATGAGACCAGCAGTCAGCCGTCTATGAGTATGTATTATAACATGTTTGAAAGTGTGAACGTCTTCTCAGAAGCCTCATATAACGTGCAACTTGTCTGTGTTTGTAGCTACAGAGAGTTCGGGTTCGTCGTCTCACTGTCTGTCTGGTAGTGGTTCGAGCGGGTCAGACAGCGGATGTGTGTCCAGTCACCTTCCCGAGGCTTTGTCCGAGGAGCCCAGCTCACCATGTGACTCCTCCTGTTACTCCTCCATCACCTCTCCCACCCAAGAGAAAGCCTGCTTTAACAGCCAGTACATCTCAGCGGTTAGTATTACATGTGTGCATTTCAGATGGCCAATATTTCGATCGCACATCTTCATGTCCGCATCAAATGTCACTGATGCAGAAACGTGTCGTAACACCCATGCTTATGCTAGCACTAATGCACACGCTCAAGAAGACACTGATCACCTGATGATCAAGTGAGAGCCTCCCCTTTAACCTGTGATAACCCCTGCGCCCATGTCCTTCTCGTCACAGGGGGAAGCTCAGGTGATTGGTCCCTCTACTATAGTGTGAGCTCAGTAACCACTGCTGCAGTAAGTTTGGCTTTCGCTCGATGACATCACACTTCCACAGCTATGTGCATGTGCATTAATACACTCATCTCAGCATTTTGAAAATATTATTCATGCTTTAACTAGGAGCTTTTACACATGTGCTTGTACGTAATGCATGTTATTCTGTTCTGCTTTGTCCTGTAGGTTTAAGACCTGTCTGCTTCAGATTGAGAAGACAACGTTGCCACACCGAAGAGGAGTACAGAGCTAGTATTTATTGTTCCTACTGAGTGCAAGCAAATCTCTTACAGAGTTTAAAAAGCACTCGAAATAGCACTGTTTCTCTTTTTCTTTTTTAAGCCACTTTTAGCTTCAATAGCTTTTATATAAATTTAAAAATGATCTATAAAAGTGAATAAATATTCTTGTATTTATCTTCTTTTCAAATGTTAAGATACAGTAGTGTTCTCAGATGTATTATTAACTGTAAATACTGTAGTAGTGTACAAAACACTTCTGAACTCTTGCGGTTATTCAGTTCCCACTCTTTTTCGTTGTTGTTGCCCACTTTGCTGCAGACTTAAGCTGGTTTGATTTAAAAAAAATGCCCTAATGTTAAAAGGCATGTTCTGAGCATCAGTTACACTAAAGGTGTTAAGCAGTGTTTAAAGCATTTGTTGTAGAGTTTCTGCTCTTTCTAGCGTTTCCATGGTCTTTGGGCCTGTGGTCAGTGTGCGGTGGAAACCGTTTTTGATAGCTGGCTTGATCCAGAATAAGAGAGCATTAATTCAGATCGTACGACTGACCTCAGGTCAGCTCTGCCCTGCACTGCTGCTCCTGGGTGCTGGGTATTGCTGCTACCTTTTTGGAAATGGGAGAGTTTTCAATTCAGTTCTCTTATTTACATTAATAAGTACAACAAAAAAACAACATGTAAATTGTAAATAGTTGCGCCAGTGGTGCTTTAAGGACATAGCGTTTAGAAAGTAATCTTTATACATGTATTAACCAGTCAACATGGGAATCACTTAAGTGCCATTCTTTGTTGCCAATTTAAATTGTAAGTGTACAAACAAAACATAATTTAAAAAAAAAAAAAGCATTGCAAGTTCCACTTCTAGCTGGAGCATGAATATGTACTCAAGCGTTTCATTCTTCAATCTTAACAAGTTCACACAGAAGTAATAAAGACGGATTGCTTTGTTTGTACCGATAACGGAAGTGTGTTTTATTTATTGTCTTTAATCTTCCATGATTGGCATTAAGTAGAGAGATGTATCTCACAAACCCTGAAGGCTGGTATTCAATTTCTGCACACCGACTGAGCTAACAAACAGAGTCATTGTTACTAATGATAAACTCTGCCTTGGGGCCAAGCAGTATATGGTTTAAATACGTGTAAACTCAAGCAGTGTGAGTAATAATGTTCAATTAAGTTTACTGTACCGTTTTAGCCTTAGGAACATTGCCACCAATAGCTTTTTCACAGTAACTCTTTGTGAATGACTTGTGGAAAGCGACTGTACTCTGTTGGCCATACATTTTTTATTTACATATAGGCCTATGAGATGAGCAACAGACATGTAGTGTGCTTAAACAGGCTAATGTGTCAGGAAATACTGTGCCAACTGTTTACTGTGCCTCTGAAATTACCTAGTTCTGGCATGAAACTCTAGATGGTGCAGGCTGATAGGTCTAACTCATTTGGTAGCGATCACATCATTATCTACATAGCACAGCTGATTGGTTGTTATTGCAACAGCGGCCAATGAGCTGCGGCTCAACATTCAAACAAATTCCGGTAGTGTTGCTGTTAACAGTCTTCAGCGTGCTTTCAGAAACCCTCCACCTTCCCCAGCTCCACCTGTATAGGTCTGCTGCAGGGGTTATTTTATGTATGTTATATATGCAGCAGCAGCAGTATGTCTTACATGCTCACAGCAACGTCTGTAAATGTGTTGGCAGTAGTAAGTCTCTTGTACTTGCTCTGCAGTAGCATCAGCGTAGCAGATCTATTCCGCCAAGACCAAACACATTAACACTGCCATATCCATTACCATACCAATCTCCCTTGAGTTATCATGACAGAATTATAGTTACCTTCAACCACAATTTTCTTTTTTGTGGCCTTTCTTATTTCTCTGCAAATAATTAACACGGAGAAAATACATTGATCTTTCATTAATCATTTTAATTTTAATCTAAAAACAGATCAGAATGGGCTTCCAGATATTAAAATTTTCATTCAAATTCTTTTAAAACCTCACCTGGAGGAAATAGACTAGATTTGCTACAAACCCTTGAGTCCACTCTGGTGGAGTCAGGCATCCCCATCAGGAAAGCTTGGCATTCGCTGGTCAACATCATCTCCTTGTGAGAAAAACCAAGTATGCAAAGGCCACATCTGGGCAGGGAGATACAAAGTTAAGTCGTTTTGCATGTAGGAAATGCCACAGAAATTTTCCAGCGTTTTTTGTTTTTGTCCACAAACGGATGGAAACCACAAAACCCGAGAGTGGAGTGAAAGTCAATGAATCATAATTGGTTGAATCATTCACAGCGTGTGCATGTCAGTATGATGAGCTTTGAGTGCTCCAGTGAGGCTGCATGCGTTGGTTTATTTGTCTCTCTCACCTAGAATATTTTGCACCATCAACCTTTAATGAGATTACAGCCAAATCTAAACTTGAAGAAGTGGGAAAAGCTGGATATTAACAATGGAAACATTACTGATTCATGTCAAATTTAGTACACATATCCAGGCTGTCATGAAATTACTGAATATCCAGACACACACACACACACATATATATATATATATATATATTCATAATTCATAAAACAGAATCCTATTCCTAACCCTACACCTAGCCTAACTCAAATCGTAAACTTAACACATGCCACAATTAAGGTTACCATGGTGTGGAATAAAAGGTTTATCTCTGCGTCATACTATTTATATTGTTATATTTCTGATGCAGTTTCTTTTCTTTCCCTTGATCCTGTGCCAAGAATGAATGCTGTGACATTTATCTGCTAATCTGTTTCCAAGTTTTATGGAGCACTGGAGGATGATCAACCCGTACTACAAATCCCCCAGCAGGTGGCGCACAGGCATCCATCTCTGCCTCATCTGTAGTGTTTTTTTTTATATACATTAGCCTATATGATACACTGGAAACAACATAAGTCATAAAAACTTCTATACATATCCTAATCTGGGGGTTCACATCGTTTTAATAAATATTAACAATTTGAAGATTCTACACTTCAAGAGAGAGAGCGTTATATAGGGTGAGAGACTGACAACGGCTCCTCAGAGAACTTTCTTACTGTGAGATGTTCATAATATATTCCCAATAAATGGCAAAATGTATTCATTGTGTTTAAAAACAATTACACACCCAGTGGGCACCTTGATATCAATTTGACGTCAAAAGTTAGTCGAGACTTGATCAAGATGATGCATATCATTTTAAGGTCAGTTTGAAAGGCAATGTCTTTCAGTGGTAATTTTAGGTGAAAAGAGAAAGTTAATTCCCACACTGAAATTGGTTTACTCGTATTATTATAGTTTAAATAGCATTTTTTCTTAACTGAGGCATCGAAACTCATCCATTTGCACATCTCATTTTGAACTGCAACCGTTGTGCTCAACTGTAAAATCGCTGTGGGTGGACTTTAACTTTTATTTAATAAAAAAATAAAAATAATTGGACTGGTTTCTAATTTTATTTACTCTGAAATGGAATCAGTGAAGTGATAATTACATTTACTAGAAATTATACTGATTGGTTGATTAACAACATTGAACTGTAATTCATTACAAACAGTAGGCTATTTTTGCTGTAGCCTAACCCCACAAAACTATTGTGTATTATTCATATTCTTTTAAATTTATAGTGATACCATTATAACTTATAATGGTATCACCAGGGGCGTAGAATTTAGTAGGGACGCTAGGGACGTGTCCCTACCAATATCCAGTGACACTGATATATCCCTAGCAACAATCGATCAAAACTTAAAATATATTTATATATTGATGTCCCCGTCCCCACCAATTTCAAAATCAAACCTACGCCACTGGGTATCACTATAAATGTACAACACATTTGATGTAAGTAACGTTGGAATATGTAAACCACATATGGTTGAAGTAGCTCAGTTGGTATAAGCATTCAGCCTTAAGATCAGAAGATCGTTTCATAGTTCGATCCCAGGTTTTGACAATTGAACCGCTAAGCGGTATAGGGAGGCAGACTCAAGAAGATTTAATCTTTGGAGCATTTTATTACTTTTGTGTCGTTAGTACTTTTTATTTCCATTAAATTCTTTTTGAGGACCTTAAAAGTACCATGGCACATGAATATGGTAATCATCTAGTATTACAGTAAATATTAAAATACCATGTTTTTACCATTTGATACCATTACCATTGTGCCACCCCAATGCTTGCTTAGGCATATGGCACCTCCGAATGCTGTTTGTCTTATTTCAACCAAGTTTGCACTGGTCTTTGCATTGTAAATGGTCTGTCTCGTTGCGCTGTAGTTCTGCCTGCATCCAGGTTCTGCAGGTGTCCACTCATCATCTGTCTGTTGATGGAGATGGCATTGATCAGCACTGAAGCCTTTGCTCAATCTGACAGTCCTGTCCTCAAGCCGCCCACCTTGGCTTCAATCAGTATAGCCATTGTAAGGCTGACTAATTTGATCCAATGCCGGCATTCAAATTAGCGGTGAAGGTCTCAACGCGCGTTCCGTCTCTTCCAATGGCAGAGGGATTTATAATTAAATGCAATACTTTTTGTCTTAAATGTATTAACTCGTTTCATCTGACTCCATAGAATGAAAGTGTTTTAATGATATCTTTGCATCATTAAGTATACGTTAATGTTTGACTATTCGTTTTAACTCCAATGAAAATAGTCAAAGTCTGTTAGAATAATCAAATATAACAATTTATTATGTCAGGTAAATGTATTATAATAATTCCATAATCAATTGAAAGATAATCAATGCAAGTCATCAAATGTTCTAGAACAAAGAGGAAAATATTTTACCCGACATGAAATACATGAATGCTGAGTCTCGGCGACTCAACATTCACGGGCTATCTGAGATACAGAAAGAGCCACGATCCCTTGCTGCCTTCCATTAAATAGCCAGACCTCATTTCATATGTAAACCTGTATTCACAGTGGAAATGTACTGTGTTCATCCCCCCAGACTTACTGGGGGCAGAAGTAAATTTACATGGTAACATTTGCTAACAGTGGAAATTAGCATTGAGTTCACACCTTGGGAGTAGGAGACCACATTCATTTGTGTGCCGGATATCCCTAAACTCTTAAAAAACCTTATTACCTTTTGTTTTATACTTTGGGAATGAGACATTTGTACCACTCATTCCTGAGACATTTCAAATGATACCAAACATAATGCTCAATGATAATCATTCACATCAAACCATATATATATTCTCATGTGAGTTTCAGCTGTTACTGGGTGAAATGTAAATCAGGTGAGACTGCGTGAGGGGGAGGTCGAATGCTATTTCAGCAAGTTCCTTTGTTTCAATAGACCATGTGGTCAAGACAGTGTCTCCAACCAGTTCTTACAAGGCCAAATGTTCATTTCCAGCTTCAACCAGTTTCCCAGTCTTACACCATCCTGTCCAACGGAGTCATCAGACTCATATGTCTGCTCATCTCCCACATTATATTCATCATGGGGGGCATTTCTCTACTCCAGCAGTTCTCTAATGAGTAACAGTTGACAGACTGCTGTTGCATATCAGGCTCTCCAAATAAAATCTGGAGCAGGTGGCTGAGGGTTAGTGCTGTGCCAATCTAGAGAGCAACAAGTTATTAGCGGCTGTTGCCTGTTGGATATGTGCATGGTTCCCAGGTGATGCTTTGGATGCCTCATCTGTTCAATCTCTGTCAGGTGCCACCATCTTTTCACACTTATAGCATGTGTAAGAAAAATTAAACATAGAACGTGGAAAACCAACATATGCTGTTGCTCTGAGTGTGTGTTAGAGAGGTCTCAGTGGAGAGAAGAGCACTGTCTGGACTCTCCCTATGAAATGTTCACTTCCAATTAGATTATATGTCTGTTTCATATTTAAGTCACTGGATTATGAAAATAGGCATTGTCATATAGTTTTAAAATATAAAATACGTTGTTGTTGTTGTTGTTTTTTGCAAAAAGAACGAATTATTGACATATATATAGCCTACACCGTTATTGATATAAGTATATCATATAAGCATAAATAATGAATTAGACATAATTATATGAATAAATAATGATTTTTGTATGGTGAAATGTTCATTTTGGGTACACTATTGCTATTTTTCTTTTATTGCTAGTCAATTTTATTATATCACTGCTTAACAGTTCATACATTTTACCTGTACCTTTTCACTTACTGTACATTTATTGTTCTATAGGGATGGTGGTTCTTCTGTCGGGATGATGTTAACAAATTCACATATTTATATAAAATTTAAGTAAAATAACAAAATCTATAATAAATGATCCATCATTTGTATAAAACTATTAGGCTCAAATCTGTCAGCTCCTGCAGTACCTGTATGAAGTATCTAGACACTGAAATGGTCCTGGATCAGGAAGTCCTTCCTCATCTGAAGAAAATTAGCAGGAATTAACAAAAACATATACATCATGTCTGCACTACCCCCATACAGCTGGCATAACTCATTCTGCGAGTTTAAACTCTCAATCAGCATTAAGGTTTACATGGAAAGAATGCATACATTCATAAATGTCTAAATCCATCAGTCAAATGCGTCAACAAATGAAATGGCTATATAAGGGAAAGCCTTCCACAAACGAAACAAATGCATTGAGGTTTGGCTGGTGCTGTTTGTATGAAGTATGACCGGCAGATGGCGCTACTGTCACAGTCACATTCACCTGCACACAGACTTCATGCTGTTGTTTTGACGGTTCCAGTTGTTGAGTTGACTTCTCTGTGCGTAAGAAATGTTTTTCTGACTTAAAATTTTCCAGTGTTTTTCGATTTTTACTAAAAAAATACTTGATTAGATATTTTTTGGTTCACCAAAGTAACTCCTTAAAACATCCCATATGTGCATTGTTAGTAGACCTATTAATGACCCTCAACCTTTGATTAAGTATTCAATGTTTGTCTGTTATGAATTGAGGTTGTTTATAAATATATTAGTTATCCCTAAACTGTGTGAATTATAGTCAAATGAAAAGAGTGCTGTTGTTGCAACCTACTACCACTGCTAGAATGTAACATTATAGAACTTAAAATTGTGCAATGAATCAAATAATTAACAATAGTATTTTAAATGTTTTAATTATATCAAAATAAGAGTACTTTGTAAATTAGATGATGCTAGTTTTGTCATTTAACACATTACATGACTTCAAATTTAAATTGTAACTACGGACATGAAATGATATATTCTTGATTCATTTTTTCCTGTAAATGCTTTTACAGAGAAACCACTGTCACCTCAGGAGGGTGTGCTCATGTGTCATAGTGATAGTGACACCTCCGTAACTCATTTCAAGTCAATTTAACTGACAGTGTGTAACAACACTCCATGGGATCCCCCTTTTTGCTTTTGGTTTTAATTTGTAGTTAGTTAGCTAAAGGTTCTCACCCTTATCAATCTATATTCTGCTTATTCATATTTCAGTTTCATATTCACAGATTCAATTTTAGAATACCGAAAGTACAGCACAACACAATAAGAAAGTAATGATTACTGTAGGCAAGGCATCTGATTTGTCTCTTCCTTTTTCTGTGAAATGAATAATGTTCATTGGAAGGCTGCTTTGCTTTGTAAGCTAAATATATGGAACAAAAAGCAACGAGTTTCAGTCAGAACTCTGATTCACTGAAACCAGAGACAAATATGAACAGCTCCTCTGTCCATATTGACAATGACACGGCACTGGAAGACTGGTCATCTGCAGGGAGCACCGCAGCCTGTGTGATCCTGGGCATGTGCTTCCTGGTGGGTACACCTGGGAACCTGCTGGTGGTGTGGACCATCTTGAAGTATGTGAAACAGCACTCTCACACGGTGCTGCTCATCCTCCACCTGGCAGTCGCAGACCTTCTGGTGCTGATCACCCTGCCGCTGTGGATCTACTCGCTGGCCCGTTCCTGGGTGTTCGGAGAGGCCGTCTGCAAAGCCATGGTGTACGTCATCAATGCCTGCATGTACAGCAGCGTCTTCATCATCACCATCATGAGTGTGGGGCGCTTCCTGGCTGTCAGGTACCCTTTGAAAATGCTGTATTGGCAAAATAAGACATCCATGTCCAAAATACTGGCAGTGACCTGGATCCTGTCATTCATTTTGGGGATTCCTGTCATCCTGACTCAGTATCTAGATGTTGATGACGATGGAGTGAAACACTGCTTGTACCGGGACTACAGCTCTGTGTCTTTTGAAGTCTTTTGTATTTGTTTAGAGACTCTTCTTGGCTTTATCATTCCATTTTTCACACTTGCGATCTGTTACTGTCAAGTTGCCGCACAGCTCCGCAAGGTGCGCTTTAAGATAAAGCAGAAATCCATCTTCCTCATTGGTGGAGTGGTCGTGGCCTTCATTTTGTGTTGGTTACCCCACCACATCCTCAATATCGTAGGGATGGTGGTTCTTCTAGGACAATTAGATGAACTGTCTCCTATCCCAAATAGTGTTGTCATCATTTCTGGAGCTCTGGCTTTTATCAGTAGCTCAGTGAACCCTGTGCTTTATATGTTTGCTTCCAGAAACTTCCATGGAAATCTAAGGAAGTTTGGGATAGTAAAGCTGTTTCAAGACTTAGCAACACAAACACCCCAAACAAAAGAAGGCTTCTTACAGGATTCTGGACTGCATAATGGAAATATCCTGGAAGAACAAACGAATTGTGAAAAGAGGGAACTCGTGGATCTCTGAGTAACTCATTAGAAGTTTAGATTTTGTTTTTAATGGTCAAATTTATTGAAATGCCATAATCAAGTTGTTTTAAATGTATTGTTTTTTTATTGATCAGAGTTGTTCAAATTCCTTTTGTGGTCAAAATTGTTTTAATGCCATAGTTATGTAAGACTTAATAAAGAGGTAAAAAGTACTGTATATGGGCTTCTCTATAAAAACACAACTGTTTTTGGAAACAGTCATGACTAGCTATTTGATTTCTTCAACGATGTATGGTAGTTCAGCAGCGAGTTACGTCGTTGTATGGGAAACGCACCCCTGGATGCCATTCTCCCAGAAATGTTCTTAAGAGTTACAGTATATACATTTTGTGTCACTCACTATACCACTGATCAGTGTTGGGAAGAGTTACTTTTAAAAGTAATGCATTACAATATTGCGTTACTCCCTGAAAACATAACTAAGTAAAGTAACGTTACTTTTCATTGAATTTTTCTCATCTGGGCTGGGCTTGCTTGTTTGATTTAAATGATAAAAAAGTTATATTTTTGGCAAATGTAAAGGCCCTTTCACACCTAAAGTGAAATTGATAATCCTGAAACTGAATAAAATGCAAATTCACACTTGTACAGTAGAGAGCGCAGCTCAAACACACCTGTCAGCTCAGCTGCGCTGCCATTCTGGATCGCAGAAGAATAGGACGCAGGAGAATAAAGTTAAACACTTAAGCACTTAGGCACATTTAAATTAATTATTGCAGGTTTGCTTAATATTCTAAGTTTGCATGTCACTAATTTTATTAATTTTGAGGAATATCTAATTATTTTGTGCAAGAGAGATGAGTAAATGCCTGCTCACATTTCGTCTAGAAGTACAATAACTGTCATGTTTACTTAGCGCACACTCACGATTTCCCTCAACATACGGACAGAAAAGGTTTCAGTCAATAAATGGGAAAACAAAGTAACTTGCGTTGGTTATTTTAAAAAGTAACTCAGATATTTTGTTGTAAATTTAAAAGTAATGCATTACTTTACCAGTTACTTAAGAAAGTAATCTGATTACGTAACATAGGCCTACATTGCTTGTAATGCGTTACCCCCAACACTGCCACTGATGATGTAGTGTAACATTTTAAAATACATTTTCTTTCTTTTTAAATGACTGCATTTCAATAATTGTTGTATTCGGAAAAAAAGAGATTCCATGAGACACATTAATAATCTGGAGCAAAATTAGACTTGACCAAATTCTCAGAAATGCATGAGTGTGAACTGCAATTTAATCATCTTTCTACAGAATCCCCTTTGTCTGAATTCACAGATGCACCTCCCATTCTCACACACATTTTGGTTGTCTTTTTTTTTTATTAGACAACCACTGTTTTTCTTCTCTGTGTTTGAGAGTTCTGTTTTCCTCAGTTTTCACAAAAGGGAAGTGAAATTTGCTGAGGCAGACTGGTTTTCTAGCTCAGTGGTTAGACTTGTAGCAGACTCGAACGGACCAGAGAGGCAATCATGAACGCAACTGCTTTTCTTCAGAGAGATGAGGAGACCGAAATGGGCTTGGTGGGGGCCTGTGTGATCCTGGGCATGTGCTTCCTGGTGGGTACACCTGGGAACCTGCTGGTGGTGTGGACCATCTTGAAGTATGTGAAACAGCACTCTCACACGGTGCTGCTCATCCTCCACCTGGCAGTCGCAGACCTTCTGGTGCTGATCACCCTGCCGCTGTGGATCTACTCGCTGGCCCGTTCCTGGGTGTTCGGAGAGGCCGTCTGCAAAGCCATGGTGTACGTCATCAATGCCTGCATGTACAGCAGCGTCTTCATCATCACCATCATGAGTGTGGGGCGCTTCCTGGCTGTCAGGTACCCTTTCACCTCAATCCGCTGGAGGAAACAAGCACTGAACAGGATACTTCTGATAATATGGATAGCCTCATTTCTCCTCAGTATTCCCGTCATTGTAACTCACACTTTGGGAGAAGAACACGGACAGCAACAGTGTACTTTCAGGGAGTACAAGTCTGACATCCAAGAGGCTGTGTTGCTTATTTTAGAAACTCTTATAGGCTTCATCATCCCCTTTTTCACCATGTTGGTCTGTTACGGCTGCCTCTTTAGTCGCATAGCACAGATGAACTTCAAGTCCAAGCGTAAATCGACAGTTCTCATCTGCAGTGTGGTTGTGATGTTCGCGCTCTGCTGGATACCTCATCATGTGGGGAACTTCCTTTCCCTCATCTCACTTGCTCTCAAGCATTCAAACCCAAACATGGCAGAACGTTTGGAGGACGCCTGCACCACAATGACCATTATAGCAGGAGCCCTGGTGTTCATCAGTAGCTCAGTCAATCCAGTGCTTTATGTGTTTGCCGCACGTACCTTCCGCAGCTCGCTCCGGGAAACTGGAATACACAAGCTGTTCCAACATCTGTCAAGTTCAGCATCTGGTGAAGGGAATAAAGAGTTATCATTCGTGTCCAAAAGACAAAGTTCACTCACCACCAACTCACAATGTCTCACAGACTCGAAACTGCCTGAAGATGTGGCTGTGGAATCATGCATCAGTGCCTCAGATTGACCCTGTTATACCCAGGTGCTTAATAACATTATCAAAATTAACCATTATAACTGTTGTCTCTCATGAAAGAGTGCATGAAACTTTAAATGTAATTTTGTAATTCAGAATTGTATTGAAATTTAAACAAAGTGAAATCATTTTTAGTCAAATATTTGCTTGTGCCTTGTTTTTTGTGTTTTAGGAGACTCACTGCAACTGCAGATTCTACAATGAAAACACTTTTACATTTGTGATATAACTCAAGTGTCTTTATAAGTGTCTATTTGGGATTAAATGCATTATGATTCCAACATGTTCCTTTTTCTCATATTGCAACGTGTGTGTGTTGTGGCTCTTTTAACGGTGTGAAAGAGGAAGTGGGAATTAAAAGGAACAGAGGTCATTCTGGAAGAAGATACCATCTGTGCCACTGAAATCTCATTCTTTTCTATAATTCTTCTTTCATGTTTGAATTAAACATCAGTTATTTTTTCAAAACCCAAAAATGTACATATCTTGCATAGGCCCACTTTTCAAATCAGAAGAAAAACTCACCAGGCTGTTTCTTCTACTGTGAAATCGTTACTTGACACATTTTAGTGACAGACCTTTATTGGTATTGAAAAGATTTTTTTTTTAATGTTTTACATTTTTGAAAGGCAAAAATTATAGCCTTCCTATCTGAGTAAGAGTGGTGACATGAAAGATGCTCGCCTTGACCTGTGGTTCTACCTTTCTCTCTCTTTTACAACACAAATATCATGACTGAAAGAATCAGCTGACCATTGCTCAAGATGAAACCAGAGAGAGAAGGAGGGAGATGGTTGACCATCTGAGTCTAGCAGGCATGGAATCTTCACCTAAGTTTGGCACGCAAATGGAAAAGTGAGAGGACTGGTAGACATTATCTGTCTGGCTTTTTTTTGTCCAATTAAATTACTGACACAGGCACACAAGAGCACTTAATAATAAAAAACAAAACTCAGATCTCAACACAGTTGCTTCTATATATAGAATCTGCATGTAGGAGCAAAGGATAGGTTTGAGCTCCCAAATTATTAGGCTATTTATTAATTGATTTTTTTTCTGTGCCATTCAATAACGTACTGTCATGACTTTTTTTTGTCTTTTATTTGCTATCATTTACCAAATTTGACATTAAAACAGTTTCTTTTTATTTTGTCCTGTTGTGATTTCTTTGTCATCCTACATAGCCGATAATTGTTTGTTTTTTTCTTTAGAGAGAAGCTGAATGGATTAAACACTCAAAATTACATGTTCAGACTATATTAAGAAGCAAATTCGAAATTTGACATTAATTGCTCAATTTTACTCAAGTTTACTAAAAAAAAAAACTATCTAATGGTTTACGATGTTTCTGTCATCGAATCCTTCCGGCAGATTGTAGTTGCAAGGTGCAATGAGTAAGACCCGCCTCCAAACATCGTATCAAACAAGTGAATTGTGATTGGTGGTTCAATGTGCCAGTCAAACTTCCCCTTCATAACTGCAAAAGAAAATGCATAACCAGAATAAACTAACACATGTAGCACAATTAATGTCGATAGTCTAAAACCTTGTCTTGTGAGATTATCAGCCTATTGATTTGTCTAGTAGCCATAGTGAGAGTGGCAGAGGAGAGTAGGCTATTGGCAGATTGTGAAGGTTTATGAAAGCGCACTGGCCATATCTAAAATAAAACTTTTAATAATTAAATACTTTATTTAGGCAACTGTTATGGCGGGGGAATGTTCATCAGTTAAAATCATGAACACTCGTGTTTTAAACATAGGCTATATTTCAAAGCTACTGTTTATTTCTAAAAACGTAAAACTTAGTTAAAACATTGAGTGCATTTTTTTTAAAACGTAGTAGCTTAGCCTACGTATTAAAAGAACAGAAGATAAAGTAGGCTAGCTAAGCAGCACAGCTATAGGTGTGTGTAGCAGCAAAGCACAGGACAAAGTGAATTCTGATCTTATCTCACACTAGCGCATATAAACCAATCCGAACGGGTTACATAGGTTCCGTGGCAATACGCCCCGCCCTCACCTTTACAAACCAACCAATCAACGTGCTCCCCCAGGAGATTGACTCCAAACAGGGAGGCCGAACCAAAACCAGGTAACCAAGAAAAAACGAGACAGCGAGAAAAGCCTTCAGGGCTTGTTATGGGGTAGCGTGAGACGAACCAGGACTTTTTCCTGCCTTCTTTACCAGTCAAACCAGTAACTCTGGATAGAGAGCACACAAGTACAGCAACAGGTAGAGTCTCGTGCCGCACTCTCTCTCGTGTCCTTCTCTTGGAGTAATCTTCTGTCCTTCCTCGTGTACTTCAATTGAATTTCCATTTCTTTTGTTTGCTTCTCTTGGAGAAAGGTGAACCCTCGTGTTACTGTTTTATTTGATCTTTGCTCTTAATTGTAGTTTTTACCCTTGTGGTCCCTGATGGCTTCGCACAGTGATACTCTGGTGGTGTTCTTTGGGGCAACAGCTGGTGCAAATGGGGGTAAACTGGGGTCGGATGAAAGGGAATTAATTCTCTTGGTGTGGCAAATTGTGGATCTACATGAGAATAAGGTACGGACCTTTTGACCCTGATGTAAGGTCTCTAACTTTAAACTACCCACAATGTGCTAGTATTAGAAACTACCTTGACAGCTGACATTCACCAACCAGGTGCGCTTTCAGAGACTTAAATGCGCTACATTGTGATTTACATTATATTCAACAGCTGTTTAATTTGACGATCTATTTGACAACTTGATTAGAGCATTATAATGCCGTCTTTTCGAGCCGCCCTCAATTGACGAAAGCGTGCTTTTTTTGGTGCATGTCATCGCCTGTAGGTCAGTAACCCTGCCGTGTCTGCTTTGCATTTACACAAACACACTGCCGAGAATGAGATATCAACATTTTCGCTATAGTGACTCGGTGTCAAAGCCACTGAGCTGCCTACTTAGACCAGCATTGGTGCGTGGAGAACATTGAACATTGTTTCTGTGTTCTCGACGGCCAGGTGTGTAAGGGCGCGCCAATGACAAAACCCGCTAGAGTTGCATTGCGAGGCCGGTTGAAAGAGATGATGTTGTTAACAGGTGGGCAAGCTTCAGCGGACTCTAGTACAGCCGGACAGTGTGGATCTGTCGGAGCAGTGCAAGGAGGAGACCGGGCTCACGGCGGAGGAGCTGTGCAAGGCCGAGCCGCTGGAGAGCGTCCTGCAGCAGGTGAGAGAGAGAGAGAGAGAGAGGCGCCTTCATGCAGTCGATTGGTCTGTGTCTTTATACAGTGTTTGTGTATCTTCTGGTCCGAGGCTAAAAGTCACAAAACACAGTGGCTCATATGTCAGCAGCATAAGGTAAGAAGTCTAGTTGGTATTGCTGCACACTTGGATTGATTTTGAAATGGCTTGCTCTGTGGTTTGGGTGTGGGAAGGAAGGCATAGACGCTCTGCTCTAGGCGAGCGTGCAGGTCTAGTCTTGTTGACTGGTGTGTTCAGCAGACATCTGGAAGACGGAATGTTTACTTGCGAGTGCACCCACCTGAGACCCATATATGTCATTGAGTTGAGAGTGAGCAAGAGTGATATGAATACAGGGGGATGATGAACTGAATAATAGATAGGGAATACAATGAAAAAGATTCAGTGAGATATTTCTGTCTTTCTTTTCTTCTGCTCTCCATGTTAAGCTCATTTATTGATATGGATAGTTAAGGGTTGCTCCCGAGTTTTGCACGTATGTTTTGACAAAAGGTGGATGTCGCCAAACGTGTTTCTCAACTGTGACGCAGAGAGAATTTGTTTGTACTCTGTAAACCTGTTCCCACCCCCCACCTTCTCATTACTATCCCACAGAAAAGTATTTAGAGCTCAGAGTCTAAGCTCAGTTGTGGGACTAGGCGTTTGTTGGAATTTACATATTTCTTTTATTTTTTTAAAGTACAAATGTGGGACCTTAATGCTATAATTTTCTCACATTTGTATTGCATACCTTTGTTACATTCAGGTGGTGGCATTTGCATGTTATCTTGATTTAGTTGTAGCCTATCCCCAAGGGGCTCTGTAAATATTAACTAGTGAAATCAATTTCTCTGTGCCAGAGAGAGAAAGACAGACACTATCAAACCATTGGTTCAGTTCAGTTTCTCCTGTTGTGTTTGTCCTTTCAAATTTAAAGCAATGCAAATAAATAAACCCACTTCTATCAGGGGCCTCATGAAGCTGGTTTAGCTGGATAGCCAGGTATGTTTCAGTTTAGTTTGCGCCAACCCTTGGTTTTAGGCACATTGAAAGTGGCTCGGCTTTTAGCAGTGTTCAACACCATAGTAACTTGTGCTCCGGTCCACGGCTAAGGTTATGGTCTGGGTAAGAGATCTCAAAACCAAAATCGGACCAATCAGCTGTGAGCAAAGTGACACATCTCTGACGCAATCACTTTTTTCTTTCTCCATATTAAAGGCCACTACATAGTAAAACATTTTTAAATAACACTTTCTGGCTTTTAGTGATGAATCATGATTATGTATTATAATTATTTTATATGATTTATATATTATTTATATAATTATTATACCCCTAATTCATTACACGTGAACTATTAGTTCAACAATTATTATTAAACATTTATAAGATTTGGGATTGGTAGATAAAGCTTTAAAATGGACTACATGTTATCTATCCAAACGTATACAGATAATATAGTATAAATAAGATTTGGAATTGGTAGATAAAGCTTTAAAAAGGATCCATCCATCATCTATCATGCATTTATGTAGTTCATATTATTCAATCTGTTAATCTTCGTCAGAAGAGAGAAAAGAATCTTGCTGATTCCCTCACGAGAAGTGAATCACAGTTTCTCTGTTTCAAGGCATGTGATTGGCTGTTCGCTACTGATGTTTTATTTTACAATAACAATCTAATTTGTATTATTATTAAAATATTATTATTAATTTAATTATTTTATAGATAAAAACTAATTATAAATAATAGGTTAAATACAATATATGAAATATATAAGTGAAATAAAGAGTGCTTGAAGTTTTTCAGGTATACAGTAGCATTCAAGGAAGAAATTGAATAATCAAATGTAAAAAAACTCTATTCATTGAGTATTCTCTATTCATTTTTCATTCTGTTATAAATGTATTAAATATACACTGATTGGTATTAAATATACACTGATTGTTATTAAAACTACAAATTAGAGCACAGCATTAAGTTCTTTTAGTTAACTATTTTTAACATCAAGTATGTGCATTTTTAATTCATAACTGTTTCTTTATCGCTCAAACGTGTCAATAACTTTAAGCAGGTTTCTGCTGCACAAATATATTTACATACTGCAATTTACACCATATAGGAAAATCTCTATCACTATACACTTTATATTGTTACCACAATATATTTAATATCATACCCAGCCCTAAAATGAACAACAGTGAGGAGTTTGGGTAAAGGGCTGACAGAGAGTCTCACTGTGGCACGGCAGTCCAATGAGGACCTTGGCCTGTTGTCTTCAGTGAAAGATTCTTTCAAGAAAGATCCCATATTTATGGAATTGTAACACAACTTAACATCCGTTTTCTCACGGTTGTGACTCCCTGGTTGATAAAATAGGTTCTCCCAGTGTGTCTGGGTTAGGAAACCGGTATTTAGAAGGCTTTTAATGTGGCTCATTCTATCTTACTAACAGACTTGAGTCAAAGTCAAACCTGCATTTCTGAGCTTTAGTGGCTGATCCGTGCTGTGCATTTATAGCTGCTGGCACTCTCTGGATGACTCGCTTTGGCTTTGCACCTGCTTTCAGACGCTAACGCTGTGGGAATGGTTTGGTGTCAACACATCTGTGTGGGTGTAAGGGAGAAAAGACTTTAAGCAGAATAAAATTGTTACTATGAGCTCAAGAGTGTGTTTGTGGGAGAAAATGATCTTGGGTGTGTTAGAGAAAGTGTGTGTGTTCTCTGAGCTTGCTGAGAAAGCACATCAGGCTGGCAGGAGCATGTCAGTACCTGTGTGATGAGCAGAGAGCTTTATTACTCTACAGACTGTCAATGCTCATGGAGGATTCTAAGAAATGCCTCTATGAAAGGATGAGTGACACATTCATCCATTCTTTCATTCAGCCTTAGAGCGGAAAGCACAGACTTCCCATCAGTGAAATGGTCATTTATAGACCTGAATTAGATGGGTTTTGAGTCTCATTTACAGCATTGTATAAAGTAACAAGTACAGAATGGATTAAGTGTAAACCGGTTGTATGTGATTGTTGTTTAAACATCCTGGTAGTTTCCCCGGTACATCCTGTTACCTTATCTTACAACACTCCCACTTTACTTTATCCTGCACACTCCGGGTGAGTTCCACTCAAAAGTAAGCATCACTATTTATGTCCTACAAACTTTGAAGGGCAGCATACCTAAAGTGAGTACAGGGCATTACTGTGTCTCATGATCTCATCATTTGTTACAGCCTTCACAAAAAAAAAAGGTCACTTACATTTTATTTTGATTCCTAATATTACCTTAATTGCATGTCAGAACATTTCATGTTTATAGCTATTAAGATTGTTTGATGCAAACCTTTGCATCTAATATTGCTTCTCTAAATCTTCATTTCAGATTTATTTAATCAGATTTTCAAATTATTTTATTAAATTGCGTGCTCAGTGTTTGATAAACATGAAATCTTATCACCGCTCAAAAGTTTGGGGTCAGTTATTCTGAAAAAAAAATATTCTAAATGATAAATTATCATTTTTCACAAAAAATGTTTAGGCAGCAGAAAACAGTTATTTTAAACTGTTATAACATTTCCGAAAATTACTGCTTTTACTTTTTTGATCAAATAAATGCAGTCTTGGTGAGCAGAAGAGACTTCTTTCAAAAGCATAAAAAAAATAAAAAAATCAGAAATATTTTCTGCTGATCCACAGATTTCAAAATCATGATGGTAAATGACCATCTAAGTGCACTTTACTAATAGTCTTAAGGAACAACCTTTCATAAAGGGATTTTGTTGCTCACTTGCTTTTTGATTGACCTTAAATAGGGCCATTTGACGTCTTTGTACATGCGTACACACACACACACACACACACACACACACACACACACACACACACACACACACACACACACACACACACACACTGAGAAAACATGGCTCAACAGGACAACCTGATTGTCATGCTAAAGATTAAATTTCTTTCTCACTCTCACTGACATCATGGTAGAGGAGAATGTGAAACTGAAACTCAGATCAAGTTTAACTACCTTTTTTTTTTTTTAGCACATTTTTTAATCACACAAACACTTTTTTTTCTCAGTACTGGAGAGGCTAGTTTGTTCATTCTGTCTTTTTGCTTAATATAAAAATTAATCAAATGAATCCTCATTGTTCTGATTTCAGTTTTGTATTTCCTATAAAGGCCAGTGAAATGATACCCTTTATATCTTGCTTCATATCTGGAGTTTGATCTGCTCACTCTAATCATCTGTAGGCACAGGGTGTGTCTGTTTTAGCTGAATGTGTGTTTAGTAGAAATTAGGCTTGCACTTAATTATTGCAGTTGCTAATTTGTGCAAGGTGAGGTTGTGCAGTAAAAACAGTCATGAACACAATACACATACAAAATAATGCGCACTGTGTCCCACTAAAGCTTTCCTTGAGATGTAAAGCTCTTGACTTTTTGAATTGTCGGGTATTTACAAAAGTCTTGTTAGTTAATCTCTTAATGACTAACTGAAGCCACGTATTAGGATGAGGTATGAAGATGGACAGGTTATGTAGAAAAACAGCACGTCATAATCCAAGAGCATGACGCGAATGTACAGTACACTGTAAACCCGAATAAGTTGGCACAACTCAAAAAATTTAAGGCAATCAGAGTTTAAAGTAAAGAAATTCAAAGTTTAAGTAAGCAGAACTGACATATTTTTATTTTGTATTTGTACATTTGAATTGTTCTTAACTTGAAATGTTTGAGTACACTAATTCATACATTTAACTTAAAATTTCATGTAATCTCAATGTGAACACTTTTATTAGTATAAACTTAGCTAGCTTTAACAAGCTAGTTTGCTAACATACTATTTTGTTAACATCTTAACAATAGTATGCTATACAGTAACACTTGCAGCAATATAAAGGTTTTATTTGCTCTCAAATCAAGCTCATGCACCACTTGTCACCATGATGGTAACTATCCTAAACCAACATTAACAGAAATTCTTCTAAATTAGCATAACGAAACATTAATCATTACTAAATCACCCGATTAACATTAATCTTGCACAAAAACACATTGTTTGTATTACACTTAGTTTTTGGATTTACTCTCCCTTTTGAGTGCCATCGGCAAAGCATGTTGGGAAATATACATCCCAGCCGTTTCAGTTAAACTTAAGTTCGTCTAAATTAAAAGAAATAATTTCATACAACTTAAAACAATGAAACAGTTCAGTTTACTTAAAATATATCCATTCTGTGAACTTGAAAGAAAAAGAAAGTGCTAAATACTCATAAAAGTTAATTTGACTGAACTAATTAGTTTAATTTATGTTTTTCCTACTCAAACTAAGTATTTTGAGCGTTAGGGTTTACAGTGACTGAATGAGCTGCAGTTCTGCCTTCAGATGTTTTCAATTGGTTGAGAGCTTTAAACTGCTCTAGAAGTTTCTGAAATTCCCAGCTTGTAGATTTGTAAGGTTAAACGATCTTTTACATTTTTGTCAACGTGTCTTGGCTGCTTTTGCTTTTTTGCTCTGGGTAAAGGCAACGTTGGCTTGTGTTATCAGTGCTGGCCTAAATGATATGAAAATTAGGCCACAAAGGTTCTATCTGTTCTCTTATTGCATGCTAGAGTCTGACAAACACTGTAATGGTTCATCCCTTCTCTGTTGTAATTCATTGCGGATTGGCTTATATCTTTGAAATGTTCAATGATTCCTTTCCCCAACTGTTGTTCTGAGCAGTGGTGAGGCCAGACATTTTAAAGTGAGTGGACCTTGGTAAAATAGGATGGACCTATATGCCTACTCTTAAATTACATCATTATACACAATAAATGGGATAAAAATAATTTGACAGTTAGGATTAGTTAAATCAAGTGAGGGATAATTTACATCCAGCCGGTTGTTATCTCAGAATAAACCCACGACAGGTTGATCAGGTCTTGCGTCAGCCTGATGGGGTTTATTCTGAGATAACAACCGGCTGGATGTAAATTATTCTGCTTATTACACGGCTATTTGCCACAGAAGTAAATAATTAAACTCGAAATATTTTATTAGCTCTTTAAACGGAAAGCTTCCGCGGAAAGGGCAGTTCAAATTAGACGGACATTTAAGGGACACGGACGGTACAGCCATACCACTTATTACACAGCATTTCGCCACATAAATAATTATGGGGATAAGAGATATTGATTTGAGATGAAACGGTTTTAAAATCGTACCTGTTTGTTATCTTATAATCCAACAGTGTACAAAACAATCGTCACAAAATGGCAGGAGCTGCATTTGTATGAAACGAGAGAGCTAGTCCACAATACTGGAACACAATTAAATAACTGTACTCAATATATTGAATTGACTGAGTTTTAATGTATTATTAGCTCACCAAACGCAAAACTTCCACAAAGAAAAACCGTTCCTAGCAAGCGTATAGTGCTGCTGACTTCAGTAACCCGGATGAGCCTGTGTTATCTGTTTTCAGCGGTTGTTATCGGGGGAATAACATACCGCTTGATGGTGTGATTGACCAATAAGAATCAAGTATTCCAAAGAGCCGTGTAATATTGTGTTTTATTGAAAACAACTAAATCCATTTATAAAAACCACTGAACAGAAGAATAAAAATAAAAGAAGGTGCCACTGAGGCTGGGCAAGGATTAGCCTTCCCTTGGTCACGGAACGGAGACATTTTCTTACTCAAACCACTGCCTGCTGCTGCTTCTGATTGCTTTTAGATTCATAAATGCTGGTCTAGGAAAAGTTTTCTTTGTAATAATAGCATATTGGTGATTTGAAAAACATCCAGTGTGTATCTGTGTTTGGACCAGCTGTCGATCTGAGTGGGCCGGTGTCATCCTGAACCTTATGTAGCATCGCCACTGGAGTCTTGTTCGATCAAAAAGCCCCTTTGTGTGTGTGGTATAACTTAAATATTATATCATGAGAGTGATTTTAATATCACGGAGAAATTGTGTATCATAATGTATTTTATATATTCATCTAATTTATAAAATCTTTTTTATAACCTTTTGGATTTTACTCTTTTTGTGACAATCCAATGAATAAAATGCTTAGACAAATGTTGACACATAATAATGCATTTGTTTATACAGCATATTTTGAAGCATTTTTAACTTATGAAGGCAAACCAAAAGATGAGTCTAGGCAAAAATGGATTTACATTAGTTAACACTCGAGTTAAAAATAGAACATACAAAACAATAAAACTAATATTATAAAACGGTTAGTTCCAATCCTTGATTCTGATTGGTCAATAGCTGTGCTTTATTCACGATAAAACACGGCTATGACCGCTTCACCCAACGGTTCTATGTATCACTACACAACACCCCTAGCAACCACTCTTAGCAACTTAAACAGATGTTTCATCTCATTGATATTGTTCATTTAAAGCTAGAGCAGAGCATTGTGAGAGATCGAGTAAGCGAGTGTACTTGCATTTACAGTAGACGTAGCATTTTCCTTCAGGTCAGTCCTATATTCATAATAAAAAAATGCGTTTGAATGTCCGCTGCATATTTTGTCCTTTTAACAGTCATGGGGTTTTCCGTGCATAACGTTAGTCATCTGTCAGTTGCGTCTGTCTTCTCCGTGATCACAAGTTCGAGTCCTTTCAAAAGCCTTCTCTACAGACTCACTCACTCACTCACTCATAAAGACAGTCTTTGCCGCCATCTATTGGCGAAATAATATATGTAACTTCTGTTGCTGTTCACGTTCCGGGACTATTTTTTCCAGCGGAAGGCAGGCTTTTAGTGATTTTACTTCATGAAAGTTGCATAGATACATATTTTTCGGCTTTAATATTTTTATTGTGTGGCAACCGTTTTATAAAAGCAATAAGGTACTCGAGGCAAGTGCTGTATCGTGAATAAGTAACGGCTGAAGGGGTTGCAGGTTGCACGTTGCACGTTCCAACTCTTATTCAGGGTCTTTGTAAAATTGTGTATTTTAATAAGGCAAGTTGCTTGGCAACCACAAACAACTAAACTTTGCTTCATTCAGAGCCTAAGAACAGCCCTTTATAACACATTCTTCTTTGTTTTGACTTGTGAGACTCCTTCTGCTTTGAATTGTCTCTTTTCTATGTTACTTCGTTGCTATAACGTGATTAACATGAAGTACTCAAATCAATTGTCATGTCATAGTTGGTGGTTTGCCTGCACTGCTCTTGACTGATGCAGAGATGGATACTTTTACTAAACATCTATAATGGTTCATTAAAGACTCAATGTTTTTGTTAAACACAGGTGAATGTGGGAGCCCCTATAGCTGGGAATGAGCAGGTGCTGTGTTTTAAGAGTAGGACAAACGCTCAGCGTTTGTTTTGTCATCTAACGCTCTCTGTCATGCGAAATACTTCATCCGAAATGACTGCCATGGCTCACTTCCTGTATTTTCACCAAACCAGTCTGACCAGCTGCTTAATAACAAGCACACGCATGCGCATGTACACGAAGCAGCATGTGCACATATTACAACATACTGTGGGTGTCCTCTGTGCTGCCCTTGACATTGCAGTAGGAAGTTCAGGAGTTTCAGTTTAAAAACAAGCAGTTTATTTAACAAGCTACTAATAATAAATGCTAAACTAATAATACATATTTCAGTGTCTCCTGTGATTGCCTGTATCTGTGGTTTGTGTTTTGCTTTACAGTTTTGCAGGGAATTACTTTTTTTGCTGTTAATTTAAGAATATACACACTACTGTTCAAATGTTTGGGGTTGGTAAGATTTTATGGGTGTATGAAAGTGCATAAGTGCATTTTACTAAACAGCCTTAAAAGGTCACCCAAAAATGAAAATGCTGTCATTTAATTACTCACCTTCATGTTACTCACCAAACCCGTAAGACTTTCGTTCATCTTTGGAACGTGAATTAAGTTATTGTTAATAAAATATGAGCCAGTTCTGTACTCTCCATAGACGTCTACACAACTACCACTTTGAGGCTTCAAAATGTTCGTAAAGAGATCGTAAAACTAATCCATATGAATTGAGTGGTTTAGTTCAAAATTTACTGAAGAGACCCGATCACTTTGTGACGAACAGACTAAATTTAGGCTTTTATTCACATGTAAACATTGATCAGTGAACATAAACAGCAGCTCAACCCAACCTGTTTGACGTGCGAAAACAAACCTCATTGGTTCTTGCTGAAGCTCAAATGCGCTGCGTAACACGATAATGAATCTCATTGGTTCTCGCCCGTCAAAAGAGCATGCTTGAGCTTCAGTTTATCATATAACCGATGTGTGAGTTGATGAATGTTTATATGTGAATAAAAGCCAAAATTAAATCTGGTCAGCGTATAAAGCGATCATGTCTGTTCAGAAAATTTGGACAAAACCGCTCAATTCATATGGATCCGTTTTGCAATCTCTCTATTAACCTTTTTCAAGCGTCAAAATGTCAGTTGTGTAGCTGTCAATGGAGAATTAAAATTTTTGGGTGAACTAACCCTTTCGTAAGGGATTTTGTTGCTCACTTAGATTTTGAATGGTCTTACAGATAGCTTCCCTTTCCTTTTAAGGGAGCAAAAATGTCATTTGGATTTCGGACCCTTTGTACCCCGTATGCTGTCCAAGGCAGCATTTATTTGAACAAAAATACTGTAAAAACAATATTATTGTGAAATATTATTTGATTTTTTTTAAAGGAATTTATTTTTTAAAAGCTGAATTGTCAGCATAATTTCTCCAGTCTTCAATGCCAAATGATCCCTCAGAAATCGTTCTAATAATACTGATTTGCTGTATAAAGACACTTTTTATTCATTAAAAACGACAAAACTTACTATATAAGTAAGTATAAAGGGAAGTGAATCTAATGCCTACAGTTTAATGCTGTGGTGTTTTAGATTAGAAATAATCATATTTTTTTCTCCATTCCTTCTCTCTTTAACTGCTTTTATTTCCGTCTCCAGTTTCACCAGTCGGTGTCAGCTGAACTAAAGTCTCTGGGCAGAAGCTCCTACACACTTTGTGTGGACGGACCACTTCTTATCCGACAGGTGCTGCACCCCGAGGCCTCCAAAAAGGTAATCCGTAAACACGCCTTCATCCTTGAGTGTATGTTTTAACTGAAACAAAAAAGTGTGTGTTTTTCTAACATTTCTAAATTAGCTGTCAGTTTGTGGTATAATCTGTTTAGCAGCAACATGTTATAATCTTCACAGGAATGTTATGCTCATCCAGAGGACATTAAAGCACTCTCAATCCATTCTGCCTTATACCTTTTTCTCTTTCCTTACTGTTCTCTCTCTTCTGCCCTTCCCTCAGGCTCCTCCTAAACATATTTTCCTACCTGCATCCCCCTAATTTGCCTTTGTGTGTTTTGTTGTAGAATCTGGTCCTGCCAGAGTGCTTCTACACGTTTGTGGACTTGAAGAAAGAGTTTCACAAATGCTGCCCCAACGCAGGCACCATCAAAGATCTCACTATGTCCTCCATGCTGGACTGTATCCTGCATATGCGTTTGGTTTTACTCTGCTTTGTGTGTGTGTGTGTGTGTGCGTATGTATGTTTTTTTTTTTTTTTTTTTTTACCAATGCCAATACTATTTTAGATAAAAAAAAAAAAAAACTTAAGTCATTTGGGAACCAAAATGAAGCATTTACTCACTTTTTATTATATATATATATATATATATATTTGTATGTACTAGTTCTTTTCAAAAACATGTTCAGCTGTTTTAGTAGGAATATGTGCATTCATGTGTGTGCATATGTCATGTATGTGCCTTGACGCTGCTGTCAGACGTGTGTATTCCAGCGGTGGTGGAGCAGGAGGCCGGACTGAGAGAAGTGGAGAACATGGTTCTGGTAATGCTGCACCTCCTGGCTGAGCCTTACAGTGAGTCATGCAGCGTTGTGGCTTGATCTGTACCGTTTATATATTGAGAAAACCTGTTACGTATTTCACTTTTGATGTGCACAACTGACCATGTTGCTTGTGATCTCATAATTCACCTTTTTCCCTTGTAGATCACAAATTCTCCACTTTTGAAACTGTAAACTACAAGTTCGAATCTGGAGCGTGGTATGTACTCTCACATTTGCTGTGGTCTGATTTTTGTTGTTGTAAACAGTGTATTTTGTTTGTGTGAGCAGTTTCCCCTTTAGTGCTACTGACCAAAAAGTAATTTGTTGAGTTGTTGATTTTGACCGTAGGTTTCAAAATACATCTGTGGAGTTTTCTCATTATAAGACCCATAAGAATGCTTCTGAGCATGAGGTTTATCTGTATGTCTGCATATGTGCACTGTTTCCAGTAGTAAGACAGAAGCTGTGGACAGCGAGACGGTCATCAGAGCTCGTGGGTTGCCATGGCAGTCGTCTGATCAGGACATCGCTCGCTTCTTCAAGGGCCTCAACATTGCCAAGTAAGATTACATCTCAGCGTAACACTGAAACACACACTCACAGTGACACTGAGCATGCACTCAGAAAAGACCCTTTAGGACACATTAACAGTGTAATGCAAAACTCTGTAAGACCTCAAAGGCAACTCCAGCCAAATGTCACATCAGGACTTTCACTAGTGGAAAAGTAGGTTTATTTGTAATGTCAAAGCTGATGTATCATAATGAGCAAATTGTTCAAGGTTACAAACTAGTTTTTAAATGTTGCATCTCTGTCTTTCTTTGATTTGTGTATGTGTGTGTATCAGAGGCGGCGTTGCGCTGTGTTTAAATGCTCAGGGGCGGAGGAACGGGGAAGCTCTGGTGCGCTTCATAAACTCTGAGCACAGAGACATGGCACTGGATCGACATAAACACCACATGGGTAACAGATACATTGAAGTGAGTTCACCTCCTTACAGCATCTTAACCATGAGCTTGTTTTGTTTTACTCACATCAGCTGTTCTAATAATATGCTTAGTCCCAATACTCACTTTAGTCTGAGATAGTCCTAATTCTTCTATATAAAATGTACACTAGGCATGTGAGAAACCTAAATTTTCTCATAACCGACTAGTCTTTGAGTTGAGGATGAATTTAGAGACACCGCTTTTTGGAGTTTACCATGACAGTCTAACAGCATGCTAAAGCACAGCACACCAAAGAAGCTGCATATCTAAATTCATTCCTTTTAAACCTTTGTTTCTAAAATAAGAAAAAAACAGTCAACCTCATTGTCAAATCGACCATCTTGATAACATTTTCTTGATTCACATTTTCGATTCACATTTATTTGTATAGCGTTTTTCACTATTCATAGTTTCTACATTACAATTTAATGTTATCAGAAATATACAGTTCTAAGATAATACAAATCATGCCGTTAGCGAATATCATGTATTCATTTAGACAGAGAAAATGAGCTCATTAAAGCAATTTTTACAAGTTGTGATCGTAATGATTACAATACATCGAAAATTGTGTGTCATCTGAAGAGCTCGTAGGGGTTTGCTATCATCTCTTCACAAGGTGTTTTGTCATCTGAAGTCTTCGTAAGAGGCTAGACTCTAACTGAAGCTGGTGTAATCTCTAGTTACGGTCATTCCGAGGTTTAAACCGAAAGCAAATGGAAAATAATTAGTGTAGCTGCTGTTCATAACGTTTCAAACAATACATGGTCATATCAGAATGAGCTTTATTGCCAAGTATGTTTACACATACGAGGAATTTGTCTTGGTGACTGAAGCTTCCACAGCACAGACAGTGATGAGACGCAGATAATAAAAATACACAATATACAAAATAGACAATTGACAATATGTGTGTGTTATATACAAATTTAAGGCAATGTAAATCGGAGATATATGCTTCTGATCTGACATATGCCCTCTGGAAGGCAAGGTTATGAGATTCATTATGTGAATGCTAGGCTAAAGAGATGCATCTTTAATCTAGCCCCAAACATTATCAGGAAGGCTATTCCAGAGTTTAGGAGCTAAATGTGAAAACGCTCTCCCTCCTTTAGTGGACTTAGAAATCCTAGGTACTACCAAACATTTTTTGTAGTGTTTTGTAATCTTAAAGAGTGTGATGGATTGTAAGGCGATAGAAGATGGGTGAAATAAACAGGAGCTAAACTGTTTAGGTTTACCTTATAGTTCAGTAGCAATACTTTGTAACCTATATGGAACTTAATAGGTAATCAGTGTAGAGATGATAAGATTGGTGTTATATGATCATATTTTTTTTTTTGACCTGGTAAGAACTCAAGCTACAATTTAGTACAAAATGCTGCTGCTAGTTTGAGAATGCAGAACAACCACCTAAGCATTACAGTAATCCAGTCCAGAGGTCATGAATGCATGAACTAACCTTTCTGCATAAGAAACCATTAACATGTTCCATAGCTAAGTGATTTTTCTGAGGTGGATAAAGGCTGTTTTTGTAACATATGTAATATGATTTTTGAAAGACATGTTGCTAATAACACCCATGTCTTTAACTGGGGCAGCGTTGACAAGAAGTTTCTGTGTGCGCAGAGCGATCTCTGCTCTTTGTGTGCGAGTAAAGTGTATGCGCTTCAATGAAAGCAGTGCATTAATATAGAAAAGGGATTAAACTGACTTGGAACTACCTATGCATTAAACGATTTTTAATGTACACCTTCCAGTCAATCAAAATCGAGTATTCAGACAGACCATGGTATAAATTAGGGCTGGGCGATATGGAGCAAAAAATATATCTCGATATATTTTGCTATATCTCGATATTCGATATATATCTCGATATCTTTACAGGAAAATGGATGTGAATACAACTCAAAATATAGGCCTACAATCAATAGAAAATTAATTTTCCATAACAGAATGTAACCAAATGAGAAAAATTAAGCACAGGGCCTGAATTTCGTCATCATTATTAATCACGTGATTCATATACAGAAACTGAATAAAGTAATCAAATGGAAAATAACACAGTAGTATTTTAGTCCTGAATAAATTAAATGCATAGGTTATTAATCCTGATTCCTTTAATTTAAAGCTATCTTTTGTTGTATTGACAACAAAATTAATGACAGACATATATGGCTGCCGTCACTTTAAGAGCTAGTGCACGGATCCTGTGTTCATTATATGTTTAGAGTATACTCACGACGACCGAAATTGACAATTTTGCGTGTTAAAGCAATATAATCCGCGAAAAATAACTTTTGTTACTGGCCAGCTGTTCTTAAGGCGGATTTTCTATGAATGTGCGCATAGAAAATAATCTCTCAGAGAGCGCGCGAGCACTGATTAGTTTAAAATCGCTTGAATGTTTAAACTGGTAAGACTTAAAAAGACGTGCAAATGGTAAACTTCAGTCACGATGCACTGCTGGCCCGATTGTGCGAGTGAATATCCATCATGTCCCGACTCCTAAACGCGAGTGTATGTTATGGCCGCAGCGCTTGATGCTTGCCTTGCACAACACATTATGAGAGAAGAGAAAGAAGACGCGGCACCGCTGAACACTCACGCTGTTTGTGAAATTGCGTCTGGCAGATAGTTGTTAAAAGAATGATTTGATTTTATAATCTGTGTGGATTACGATTGCGGGAATTTCCCGCATTATAAATGGGAGACCTGCGGGAATGATTAGAATTATGCGCAATACCCGCGCCGAAATTCGAGCCCTGCAATAGTTTAAAACAAGACGTTTGTAGTAGCCTTCTGATTACTGGAGTCCATTAATCGAACTTCCATGCCTCTTATATAGTAATTATATATTGTAGTATGTAGGCTACCAATTTACTAATGCAATTAATGCTCACACTCGGTTTCTCTCGTGCTCTGTCGCTCGCGCGCAGACACACTCGGAGTTCTGTAGCCTCCGGGCTGGTTGCGGATGAGACAATTTTTGAATGAGACAACACGCGAGGTGAGGGGGAACAAAAGCAAGGAGGCGGGGGCGAGCACAGCACAGAGAAGGCAAACAAGCAAAGTGGCGAAATCAGGATTAAAAATAAACAATATATCGATATATACGATATGTAAAAATCCATATCGTGTTTAAAAAATATCTCGATATATTTTAAATATCGAGATATCGCCCACCCCTAGTATAAATGGCTATATACAATAGGCATCATGGTTGACATTCTGCATTTATTTTGTTACAGGTGTATAAAGCGACTGGGGAGGAATTTCTGAAGATTGCAGGAGGTGAGACATTTACATGAAGTCTTCAATTGTAATAGGAGTAGACTCTTAGCATTTGTGGAGTAAATCTCTGTCCGTTATTCCCAGGTGTGTGTGTTTGTGTGTGTTCACCCCCCCGTGGGAATGAAAGGCTCTTTCTGAGTCTTTTTCCTTTGCTGACTCATGTTAGGCAGGTAGATGGGGAAACTCTACTCGCCCTCTCTCGTGCCCCCTGATCTGGCCAGGCCACAGAGAAAGGGAGCTGTACCCTCAGGGAGTAAGATGGGTCAGCAGCCTCTCAAAAGCCTCACACTTCCCTCACACACAGCAGGTGTAAAAGTACAGCTGCCTGCCGAGATATCATTACAGTGCGTGTGGATGTGTCTGCTGAAAGCTTTGAGAGCAGCTGAGAGTGTCTATGACATTCCGTAACTACTCACCATTTTAAATGTAAAATTCCCCCTCTTTTGACAGGCACGTCCAATGAGGTAGCTCAGTTCCTTTCTAAGGAAAACCAGGTGATAATCCGAATGCGCGGGCTTCCATTCACTGCTACTCCTCAGGATGTTCTGGGCTTCCTGGGCCCAGAGAGCCCGGTCACGGATGGGATGGAGGGGCTTCTGTTTGTGAAGTACCCAGATGGACGTCCCACAGGCGATGCATTTGTTCTCTTTGCTTGTGAGGAATATGCCCAGAATTCCCTGAAGAAGCACAAACAGATCCTGGGCAAGAGATACATCGAGCTGTTCCGCAGCACTGCAGCTGAGGTCCAGCAGGTACAGATGTGTTTCATTTAACCCTTAGTGACCCAAGCATTGCTATTCATGATGCATTACGTTTTCACCTTTTAGGAAGTCATTATCTTAAAATGCAAAAAATATATATTTTTTTACTAATGTATGTATTTTAATACCATTTAATACAAAATAATTTATCAATGAGAAAATGACGAAACGGATCAGAAAACAGCTAAAAACAAGTAATAATTGTGTCCCCTTCATTTTGACTTTCAGGCTCTATTGTGTAAGAACAATAGAAATGTTTTGACCCCCTAATGCCCACTGTGCATTTTTGCTACTCTTAGAAAAATGGTCTCAAAGTTATGTACTTTTAAAATTTCAAGGCATGTAAACCTTTTCCCGTCAGTAGACGCACAGAAATTTAATTCATAAATTAGATGTAAAATACTTGATAGAGCTTGATAGAGGATTTAAGCTGTGGCAGTTAATATGTATTTCCCCCCTAACAAGTAGCTGACACACTGACATGTATTACAGCAGTTATGTTTTTACCCACATTTAGTGAAAATTTGTATTATCGCTTTATACATTTGCTGCAATTCTGCTACGCTGAGGATTAATCAAAAAAAAAAAAAAAACCCAACAAATTGACTTGTGTACATTTCTAGGAAACCAACATCTAGTTCTTTATGGCCATTTCCTTGACCTCTTGTATCTTTAAACTAGGTGTTGAATCGCTACATGTCCACTCCACTGATCTCTACACTTCCTCCTCCTCCTCCGATGGTATCTATGCCTGTGTTAGCCACGCCACCCTTCATCACCACCGGCAACACACGAGACTGCATCCGACTGAGAGGTCTGCCATACACCGCCGCCATCGAGGACATCCTAGAGTTTATGGGGGAACATACCATTGATATCAAACCACATGGAGTGCACATGGTCCTTAACCAGCAGGTGACTTAATTAGGAACCTAATGAAACACAAATCATCAGGCCTTATTAGAATGACACTTTGACCTTTTTTGTTGTTGTCTTTTCTCTGTCCATCTTTCTAGGGTCGACCCTCTGGTGATGCCTTCATTCAGATGAAGTCATCTGACCGTGCATTTATGGTGTCTCAGAAGTGTCACAAGAAGATGATGAAGGATCGTTATGTGGAGGTGTTCCAGTGCTCCACTGAGGAGATGAGCTTTGTGCTGATGGGGGGAACACTTAACCGCAGCGGCCTGTCGCCACCTCCTTGCAAACTACCTTGTAAGAGACTGTCCTAAAGGAAGCGTTCATTTTATGGAGATTTTTTTATTTTATTTCAAATGCTTGTAGACGGAACTGCTCTGTTCACTTGGGTTAGTATTTAGCCTGAGCCAGCAGCTGTAATCGGTTCCTGTTTTAAAGACGCTGATCTGTGTGCAGTGTACCAGTCTGTTTGAGATTAGATTTCAGCTTATCTACAAGAAAGCAGTGTGATCACCTCTTTCATGGATCTAAAGGTGCAACATTTTGGCATTTAGAAAGAGCAAGCCTGTAGCGGCACTAAAGGAAGGGCTGTTTACTGAGTGATTCGATCTGGTTGTTTGACCTTGGCTTGAGAATGGGCCGTATGTGCTCACGCCACATCAGAGGACACTGTAGTTTTTCCTGTGCCATGTGAGCTAAGTATACATGACATTCACATACTTGTGCAAGGTCAGCTGTGTGTGTGTATGAGAGAGATTTACACATTGCCTGGTTTGGTGAAAACAAATGTATTTATTTATTTTAATAGAAAGCACTTTATCTTGTCCCGCTCAGGTCTATCTCCACCAACATACACTGCATTTCATGCGACTCCAACTATGATTCCCACTGAGGCAGCGTTGTATCAGTCCCCCCTGCTGGCCACTCCAAGAACTCCACAGGCCCCAACACACAGCCCTGCACATGCTTTAGCCTACTATTCTCCACAGCTATACATGAACATGAACATGAGCTACACCACCTACTACCCAAGGTACAAGACAAAAATCTGTGCAAAGATTTTACCATTTTTCATTCCACCTGGTTATAGGGTTTGACTTTTATTTATTAAACCGTGTCATGTATCACATCACCTTTTTTAGAAAAAAATGTGTATGTGTGTGTATTAGTAGTAATATTAATCACTAACTATACTTTCAGCAAGTAAAATACACTACTATTGTAGGATAGGTGTCAACATTTTTCAATATATTTCGAATAAATTCTGTTCTTTTGAACTTTCTATTCATCAAAAAACTCTGAAAAATAAATGTATCACAGTTTTTGCAAAACCATGAAGCAGCACAACTTTTTTCACATTGATAACAGTAAGAAATGTTTCTTAACAACTTGTCTACACAGGATGTGGGCTTAACTTAAAACAATGGGCCTCATTTATCAATCTAACATGGATCCAAGAACAGAAATCATCTTACGACAGGGTTCACATGTGATTTATGAAACATTCGTGTGGCACCAATCCCATCGTACGATGGATTGTATTTTGATAAATGTGGGGGCTGAAAACAATCATCATTTAAATATCACGCCCCTAAAAATTCACGGTTTAGAAGCCTTACCCTTAGGATTTACGACATGGAGAAACGTAACCTGGCCAAGAAGAGGAAGTAATCTCCCGATTTAATTCCAAAAACACCTGTTAAGCTTGTAATTGCAAACTGACACAAATTACAAATGCTTTGTTGCGTCCAGTGTAGACATGGTGTTAACAGCAAATCAGCATATTAGAGTGACTTCTGAAGAATCATGTGACACTGAAGAGCGGAGTAATTTTAACAAATATATTAAAATAGATTTTTTTTTAATTTTTTTTTTTTATATATTTTATATTTGGCAACATTACTGTTTTATGGCATTTTTTTGATCAAATAAATGCAGCCTTTGAGAGGATAAGTGACCCCAAACTTTTGAATGGTAGTGTAGTTTATTCGTCTAGTTGTGCCTTTTAACAGTTGCCAAGCAACTTATCAACTTAACCCATTAACATAAAATGTGTGGTCACGTATACATCAATCAGCTGTTTTACATCAGCTTCAAATGTAGCTCTTCCAATCAGAATTTAAATTCTAAACTGTCCATTTTATAATGTAATTTGTTTGATCACTTTATAAATCTATTTTCCATGATTTAAAACCTTTTTTCTCACTGTTGAATAGTCCACCGGTCTCTCCCTCCACGATGAGTTATTTTGCGGCCCCGCCGGGTTCAGTAGCGGCAGCTGTGGCGGCCCAGTCTGCCCCTGCCCTCCTCCCCCCTCAGCCCGGAGCACTGGTGCGAATGCAGGGCCTGCCGTACAACGCCGGGGTCAAAGACATCCTCAGCTTCTTTCAGGGATATCAGGTGACTCTTCATTCCACTACTCACTCACTCACTCATTCATTTAGGTTCTCAAGTTCAAAAACAAGTAAAAAAACCCAAAACTAGGGTTTCCCAAGCAGTGCCTGAGACTCTCACCTGAGACTTTATGAGGACCCTACTTCTGTTGGATAAGCAGCAGACATCTTAAGAACTTTCTATTGTAGTGTTGTATAGCATAGTGTTTTATGATGAATGATTGTGTACATTTTGTCCTCTCATTAGCTGACAGCCGATTAGGCGGAGACTTCAGAGGACGGTATGACACCTGCACTCAGAGAAGGAGGGAAGGGGGTTATTATAGACAAGAGGGATGGTTAGGTGGAAAAGAGTGCTGCTTTGTTTTGGGCACGGGTCTGTGTGCTCTCTCTCTCTCTCTCTCTCTGTATATTAATCTCTAGCCATGGAGATTTTCCAGATGTGTGGTGGGGATGGTAGTACAATGTCTTCGGCATGCAGAGTACCTGCGCTCTCCTCTAAGGCGTGCGTTTACCTGAGCGGTGTGTGTGTTACACTGTTCACAAAGCGTAGCACAGTGGCGCGTGTGTGAAATGCTGAGTTCAGGTTTGACTCCTGGCTGAACCAATGAAATGGATCCGAGCCCAGTCCACCCTCCAAGTGTGCTTTTAACCTCTGATACAAAATGCACACTATGGGACTCTGTGTGCGGGAAGTGTTTCTTTTTTTGGCAGGTGGTCTGCAGGCCCCCCCTCTTTCTTTCTATATAGTGCATTCATTCTTAAACATCTTATAGGCAACCCTGTACGATGCATACTGTTCTTCTCTTTTTTTTTTTTTTTTCTGCAGTGAATTTTGGGTGGTGTGTTGAATGTCTGGGCATACACTGGTGTCACTACTTCGGTTCTGAATGATAAAAGGCACTACGCTTCAGACCTGTTTGAACCTTTTAAATGAACTGTAATACTTGAAGAATTAGTCTTTAACGAATACTTCAGTACTTTTAGTTTACATTTTAGTTTTTACATTTTCAAACATACTTAGGGGTGTGAATATGTGCTCTGACAATGATTTGTTTCTTAATAAATTAAATCAGGAATTTGAAATTGAATTACACTTATACCAAGATTACGGTAGTCTGTCTGAATACTACTGAAGTTCCCACATTCTTGATACATTAATACAATTTAAAATAATATATTTTTTAAATATTTAATTGTGTATATAACCATTAATGTAAGACATTTATTTTACAAACGATTTCCATGTCAGATTGAGACGCACACACACACTCAAAATAAAGGCTGCATTTATTAGACCAAAAATACAGTACAAACAGTAATATTGTGAAATGTTATTACAATTTTGAAAATCTAATTTTCTATTTGAATATATTTTAAAATGTAATTTATCCCTTTGGTGGCAAAGCTGATAAATGTTTCAGCATCATTACTCTAGTCTTCAGTCTCACATGATCCTTCAGAAAATCCAAGCTGATTTGATGCTCAAGAAACATTTCTTATTATCAATGTTAAAAACGCTTCTGCCGCTTAATATTATCTTTCAGGATACTTTGAATAGAAAGGTCAAAAGAATTTATTTCAAAATGGAAATTTTATTTTTTGATAAAATATGATGATCAATTCAACACTGTAATTTAAGTATTTTCACTGCCATGTCAATGCACATCTTTTGACACTCTTAGTAGAATGCATACTACTCTAGCGTCACCTGTAGCTGAAGTGCTGATTGTTGTGAGTGTAACGTGAGGCCTGTGGCACTGACTGTGGCTCGTTGTGCTGTAGTACGCTCCTGAAGACTACAGCAGCTTGGTTGGAGTGAGTGAGCAGGGCCGGAGCCTGATTCAGCCTAAAGAGTGGCTTTGTCTGTAGGGGCAGCCCCCCCCAGGTAAGCTCCCATCATATGCCCCGTGACCCGAACCCCTCGCTTCTGCATGGACTAATACTCCTCCTCCTCTCAGGGGTGACCTCCAATCGGTACTGCAGTGCAGTAAGGCTCTTCTGTTTTTTTGAATATGTGTAAATTAATCTTCACTCTCTGCTTCATACATAATTTACTCCTAGTATGCTTAAATGATCTGTGTGCTGCTGTTTTAAGAAGCTTGTTGTAATAATGCGCTTTCTCTCCGACGTGACTTATTGGTTTGGGGTTTGATTGTCATCATTGTTCTTAACTTGCTGCAAGTCTCTCTGCAGCCTTTATAAGGGTTTCCTAATGAATGGCTAAGTATATACTTTCACATCTTTTCTGCTGATTTGATTGACTGTAAGATGACAAATTCTGTGTGTAGAGGTTTTATGCAAAAATGCTTAAATGGTGTTTAATCCAAACTCAAATCCTGTTTCTCTCTATAGAACTCCAATGTGTGCCGTATGTGCACGTGGAGGGATCTTGCCCTTCTATACATTTATAAATAAATGCCACCACTGGAACATGTGTACAATAGTGGCCAAAAGTGATCTTTATTTGAAATCTCCCTTTATTCAAATATTATTAACTGTTCATTTGTAAGTTAAGTTGTACTTGGAATCAATTTTGTGATAACTCAATGATAACTGCAATATTATGTCCGCACAATTTGGCATAAGTCATACAAAGAAATTATGAACGCATGCAAAAACAAAAGAGAACCAACAGAATATTAATAGATTGTTGTAGTCAATGTGTGCTTTTTCCTGTGAGCTTTTTGCATATAGTAAAATAAAAACTACAGCTACTGGTTTTGTTTTTTTGGGCAAATAATTGTTTAACCCAGTGTACCGTAAAAAATTCCTCATTTTGACTTGTAAAGAGTCATTCAAATAAATATCCCCTCCGGACATCACTTTTGAACACTACTGCATATATGTGTGTGTGTGTGTATTCGGAAATAGTTTGGAAACATTATATGTTTAATGTTTTTAAAAGAAGTCTTTTTTGCTCATCAAACCTGCATTTATTTGATAAAAAATACAGTACAAACAGTAATATTGTAAAATAATATTACTATTTAACATAATGGTTTTCTATTTGAATAAACTTTAAAATATCATTTATTTCTGTGATGCAAAGGTGAATTTTCATCATCCAATCTACAGTGCCTCATGATCCTTCAGAAATCATTCTAATATTCTGCTAATATATATATATATATATATATATATATATATATATATATATATTAATAACCCTAATACTTTTTTCAGGATTCTTTGATGAATAAAAAGTAAAAAACGAACATTTATTTGAAATTTAAATATTTTTTCTTTATTTTCTATCAAATAAATGAAGGCTTGATGAGCATAAGAGACTTAAAAAAAAAAAGAAAAAAAAAAAGTAATGCTTCCAAACTTTTGACCGGTACTGTGTGTGTGTGTGTATATATATATGCATATGCATATATGCATGTATATATTTACTTGGTTTTTAAATGTTGTTTTGGTGTAGCTCCAGGCGGACTCGGTGCTCGTGCTGTATAACTGGAGTGGTCAGCGTAGTGGGGAGGCGCTGGTGACCTTCCCCAGTGAGAAAGCAGCGAGACATGCTGTAGCCGAATGCTCCAATCTTCCCTTCTCCGGCCATCCCATCCGCCTGGTTTGCTGCGAGTGACCACACACAGACCGCTACACCCAATAAGGGAGGACCGCACTTCACCTGTCTTACCTCTTTCTCCATCATTGCCTGTCTTTTGGCTTTTCAGACAGTTGTCCCGTTGTTCCTGACACAAAGTAGTAGTTTAGGAGGGGACCTGACGCAGAAGCACTGTATATATGTTTATATACACACACAAGCTAAACATCTCAGTAGCACTGCCTCACTGCTTGTGTATGTGTGTGAGGAAATTTGAGATCAATGGCATGTATGCTAAACTCTTCCTGTCTTTTGATGTCAACAGCTCTTCTATCCTAACTCAAGACCTTAAAGCAAACGTATAAGCCTTGCAAGCCATCAGTTTATGGAACTAGAGATCTTCCTGTTGGGCAGTCCAGTTAGGCACTAGAGAAACAAAATGCAATGCAATACTTATTGCCATTATGGATAAAGGAATGTTATGTAAAAAGTCAAATATGTTCTTTAAAATACTGTAAGACCATAAAAAGCATGATGGTTTTCCCAGTGTACCTCTGCACTATTGGACTGACACAGCCTTCAGACTTATTCCTTATGTAATAGAGATCAGACCAAGTATGTACTCCATAGACTTGCATGAACTGATTTTTAGTTTAATCCATTCGAAAAGTGAACATTTTATTTAAAGTTAAAGATGAGTTGTTTGTGTGATCTACATGCTTCACTGCTCATTCTTTAAAGGAATTGAATTAATAGAGGTGTGTATTCTGTTGCCCCCAGTCTGACCCCATGAGAGATTATGTGCAGATTGAACTATGCTGTGGTCTCACACCTTGTTTTGGAATTGTTGTCTACGTCAGTTTTTTTTTTTCTACTGATGGCAGGCTGCTTGAATCATGAATTTTTTTTTATATGTATTTCATGACTACATTACCCGGAGTGCAATACAGGCTGAACAAAATGTCACACCTCTCTAGAGAAAGAAGGGGCATTTTTCCTTAAAATGTATGAAATGTGTCTGTATGTGTAAATGTGATTCTTATATGCAACAAATAAATTGATATTGCTCTGACCATTAGCATGTCAAAGTAGTAACGTGAAATGTTTTGCACCAGCTTTGAGTGATTGTTTAGATCAGTAGTTTTTTTAACACCAAGGCTTTTTAACACCAAGGCTCCCCACAGTAAGGCCCATAACTTTTCCAGTTTTACTTAATAAGGGTTAAGTAAAATATTTTTATTTATTCATAATTCTATGGCATAATTAGAACTATTTATATTCAGTAAAAAAAATGCGTGTGAAGTTTAATCTGCTTGACATTTCCAGGTCTAGGAATCACACTTTTAAAATCTGGCGACCATATATCCTGTTCTTTACGGTAAAAATGTTGAAGAGTTGAATTGAATTAAGAAATGGATTGATTTTTGTCATTCTGGGTTTTTATTTTTTTCTCTTAAATATTAACCTTGAGGCCATGTGGTTGAGAAGTATGGAGGACCAACTCTACCATATTTAAAAATAAATACAGAAATAAATAAATGCTCAATAAATAAATAAGCATACAATTAATTGCCCCAAAAAATACAATAAACAAATAAATGTAGGTAGAAATTAAATTATACAGTGAGACATAAATGTATATATCTCTTTTAATTAGCTTCTTTATTTATTCACCTTTGTAATAATTACCTTATTTATTTATTGTCCGTTATAATCTTCAACTTTATTTATTAATTACTTATTTTTTTAAGTATTTATTTATGTGCATGTTATAATATTTTTGTCTGTTTTATTCTTCCTTTGTATTTTTTTACCCTATTTATTTCTTCAATGCTATTTATTTCTGCCTGTCGTTTTTACATTTCTGTATGCATTTCTGCCTCATTATGCAAATGAGGAGGGGCTGTGTCTTAAGGGGTCAACTTCTGCCCATAGAGAGCCTAAGTCCCGCCCCTCCGCTTCCGGCTCATGGGACCTTATTTGGGAAAAAATATGTATGGTCAATGGCGAGAGACAACTTATCTTTTTATTCCGTCTGAACTGTGCCCTGAATTACACATATGATGTTTGTCAATTTAAGTAGTATTCGACCGATGCAGTAAAATGCTAACCAACCAATGGGCAGAAGTTGACCCCTTAAGACACAGCCCCTCCTCATTTGCATAATGAGACAGAAATGCATACAGAAATGTAAAAACGACAGGCAGAAATAAATAGCATTAAAGAAATAAATAGGGTAAAAAAATACAAAGGAAGAATAAAACAGACAAAAATATTATAACATGCACATAAATAAATACTTAAAAAAATAAATAATTAATAAATAAAGTTGAAGATTATAACGGACAATAAATAAATAAGGTAATTATTACAAAGGTGAATAAATAAAGAAGCTAATTAAAAGAGATATATACATTTATGTCTCACTGTATAATTTAATTTCTACCTACATTTATTTGTTTATTGTATTTTTTGGGGCAATTAATTGTATGCTTATTTATTTATTGAGCATTTATTTATTTCTGTATTTATTTTTAAATATGGTAGAGTTGGTCCTCCATAGAGAGAAGCACTGGTATATGAGCAATCAAATTGTTCAACCATAC